ATTTATATTTATTATACTCCTTTATAGATTGCCTTTTTCCTCTTCTTTCTCAGTTGGTCTCCAAGCTTTACAATTGCCAAAAAAAAAAGAGAGAGAGAGAGAAAAACAGTATTCCTTCTCCTATTTTCTCTGCTTGTGGGTTACTCAAGGTTGCCACTGCCAACTGGGCAGGCCAATACATGGATGAAACAAGCGAGCATCCAAAGATATACATAAATAGGGGGATCTGAGTCCATTTTCTCTTCTTGCTATTCCCCATTTCCTTTGTATAAACAAATACAGGGTCTGCATCCACACAGCACAGTTAAGAGGTCTGGAAAAGTCCCAGGAGCTGCATTGCCCAGATAAGGGGAACAGGAGTGGGGGGTGAAGGGGGGTGTTAATGGTGGCTGGCATGAAGAAATTCTGGCTGTGGCTGGTGGATTATGGGGTGAGGCTCTGGATGATGGGTGATGTGCCTTAGGCGAGCACAGGCAGGCAGACGTTCCTAGGAAGGCAAAGATGGAGGAGCTGCCAAGGGCTTTGGGCAGGCGATGAGGGTCTCGTGGTCTGGCAGAGCTCAGGAGTAACTGAGTGCTACTGCCTGGCATTGCCAATAGCTGGGCATCCACCTCCCAGCACCTCCCAGGTGGACAGATCAGCCGTGCAGGAAAATGCCTGGAAATCGGTCAGAATGACTGGGGTTGATCTGCAGGAACTAAGCAGGGCTGACCCCGGATATTCTGTAGATGGGGGACTCTGGGAAATCCCCGCCTGGGATGCCACTTCCATGGCGACGTGTCCATGAGGTCCCCGTGCATCAGGTTCAACTGGAGGAGAAGCTGCCTTTCTGCAGCAGCTTCTGAACTTCCAGATTGGGAGCAGAATTTCCACTGCTAAGCAAAGCTAAGGGAGTTGCGCCTGGTTCCACACTCATTTTGGCCTCGGTTGTTAAGCGAATCCGGCTTTCCATTGACTTTGCTGGTGGGAAGATGACTGAGAAGGTCACAAAAGCCCCTCGGGATGCTGCAACGGTTGTGCTGGTTACCAAGTGCCCAAATTTTGATCACATGACCATGAGGATGCTGCAATGGTTGTAAATGCGAGGACTGGTCATAAGCGACTCTTTTTTTTAGTGCCGTTGTAGCTTCAAATGGCTGCTAAACCATTGTTGTCAGCCGAGGGCTTCCTGTACCTCAGTTGAGATCTTGGGTCGTTTGAGGTGGGAAACAAGAACCTCCCACGGGGGCAGCAAGTCAAGCCCTGTTCAGTGGAAGCAGAGTTTTCTGAGCATCTGCCAAGTGCTCTCTCCCTGCAGGGCCCAAGGATGGCAGGGAGCCCCCCACCCCTCAATCCATCAGGGGCTGGGCACGTCCTAGACCAGAGCCAAGAGCAAACTGGTTTCTCTGGGCATGCCAGGAGGTGGGGGGGAGGCTCCTTTTGCGTGCCTACTTCCCTTATTCCCATGCCATCCTTGCTGCTGCCTGTATGTAATTAACAGAGTAATTAAAAACAGGATGAGTTAATTGGTATTCATTTATGTGGCAGATGTTTTTAATTGAGATACGAAACAATTTACCTGTTTATATAAACAATAGTGAACGAAGGCTTGTAAAATAGAGGGGTTCCTTTCCCCTCAGCTTCCGGGTCCAGCAGAATCGACATGAATTCCCAGTTCCCCTCCCCAAGTCCGAAGGGGGTTCAGGGAGAAGTCCCTGGGGGTCATGGGGCCCAGGTTGGGCCCTCAGCCAGTGCCTCGTATCCAAGCTGTTTTCCCAGTTCCTTTGCCTCTGCTGGAACTCTTTATACACCTGGGCAAGTGGCAGAAGCTTGTGGGGTCCCTTAGGCCAGGGGTGGAGAAGATTTGCCAGGAAGGCATCTGAGCATAGCAGTAGCTCCAGGTTGAATTGTGGAAAGCTCTGTGAGTTTACAGACATTTTATTACCCAACTAGGGAATGTCTTTTTTTTTTTAATTTTTCAAAAACACAAACAAAACAAAACATAAAAACATACAATTCTAGACAGTGTATTAGTCGGTGACATTTTTGTGCTCCTCCTCTCTTCAATTTATCACTAAACATGCTAGCTTATTTCCAAAAATTTCAACATCCATTTATATCATAATTATTTCCAATTCTTATTCTCTATCCATCGGTAAAATAAATCCCATATCAAATAGTATCGTCTATCTTCCTGCTCTCTTATTTCAAATGTTAATTTACTCATTTCAGCACATTCTATCATTTTCTTAATAATTTCTTCATCATTAGGTAACTTTTCTCTTTTCCAGTTTTTAGCAAATACAATTCTAGCTGCTGTCAAGAGATTCACAATTAAATATTGCAGTTCTTTATTATATATAAAGAACTATATAATATAGGGAATGTCTTAACTCAGATGGCACTGATGATGTTCCCTAGTTGGGTAACTAAACATCTGTAAATTAACCAGCAAGCTCAATGAGCATCAAGGACTCCCCAGTCTTAACTAGATTATTTAAAGGTTTATCAATCAACTACCTTTGCACCAGGTATGAGAGTTGGTTAATGCTTGGGTAGATTTCTGTAGCAATGGGTGTTGTCTGAATCTCTCCTGTGGTTCATTTCTGGTTCAGTATCTGCTATGAACCCAGGAGATAGGTCAGGGTATTGTGTGTGTGTGAACACAGCTGGTGTTTCACACCTGTCTTTTTCTACCATGTGGAGAGGCCTGTCCTGCACAAGGGCAGCCCTGAGAAGCTTGTTGTAAGTTGGAGAATTTGCCATTTGCACCAAGACAAGCACGTTCTCTAGAGAGAGCCTGGCAAGACAGGCAGTTGCTTAACTCCACTGACCAGCAGAAGGAGAGGGGGAGGGAGAGGGAGAAGATGGGATACAGGTTTTCCATCAGTCACAAATACATATTTGTGAGAACTTCTGTATAAAACAGGGTGGCATCGGGAGGCTGAGTAGAGACGTACCCATGAAGTTGGAGTGTTTGAGAAGCTATTCACAACATGGCCCTTTGTGAAAAAACACACTTGGAAAATTGAGGTGGATCCTCCCAACTTTGTGCAGACTGATGGGCTGAACTTGAGTAACAGAATAACAGAGTTGGGAGGGATCTTGGAGATCTTCTAGTCCAACCCGCAGCTCAGCCAGGAAATCCTCTATACCATTTCAGACAAATGGTTGTCCAGCTGCTTCTTGAAAAACTCCAGTGAGGGAGTACCCAGGACTTCATCCCACTGATTAATTGTTCTAACTGTCAAGAAATTTCTCCTTAGTTATAGGGATGCTTCTCTCCTTCCCATCCATTGTTACTTGGTTTAGAAGTGTGGTGTGGTAACAATCATCCTTGGTTGCTCAGAAGATGCTTTCTGATAGATGGATAGCTGGAGAAATAGATGGTTTATGGAAGGAAGATTAGGGTTTCTGCAGTGTAATGCACTTTAAATCGGTCACTTTACATTCCCTGGCAGTGCAGCCCCTTAGGCTGCTTGGCCTCCTTTTTCTTCCTGGCGTTCATGAAGTCATCTAAGTTTGAGGTCATCTTCTCTTCAAGTGGGCAGCCTGAACTGAGCCGGTTGTAGGCAGGCCAGACTAAAATTAGGCATGCAGATATGTCTTTGCCCTTTAGTGGCAGGATTTAACAGTCCAAAGACATGCCTGGATGGGGAGGGGACGGCAATGATTAGGAGCACACCAGCCTTGGTAGTGATGGTGGGTTTCTCTCCCCCCCTCGCTGAGGTCCTGGGGAAGGGAAACAGGCTCCTTCAAGAGCAAGCTGGATGCCAAGACGGCACTTAAAATTGGAAGGAGTTTTGTTTTCAAGACTGGAGAAATCACAAGGGAAAAAAAAGAATTTCTCATTATCAGATTCAGCTAGCAAGCCCTGCTTATAATGCCTCCTCTCTGGGCCTGCTCTTGGGCCACCTCTACCAGCTTGGTGTGGCGTGAGATGTCCGATCTTACCAGAATCAGAAAAGGGCTACATTTTGCAATGCCTTTTCCCGGAGAAGGTCATGGGTGGCTCTGTGTGTGCGCAGATGGGGAGCAACCACGGTGATGTCGGCAGCTTCCTTGCCCGGCAAATGCTGGTTCTCCTTCGGGCACCGATCTTGGTCCTTCAGCTTTCTTGGCATCCTGGCAGCCTTGGAAGAGAAGCAAGATGGAGCAAGGGAGGCTGCTAGGCAAGCTTGGCAGACTGCCGGCACCGAACAGATGGCCGGCAGCCCAGCTGAGGGGAACGCTAGCCGGTCTCAGGTGTGCCGCGTGAGTCCTTGAACGGGCCCTGGGAAGACTCGGCATCCTGCGCTAATGAATATTGAGGAGGGGGCGAGATGCAGAGCCTTTGCTCCTGAACGCCCTGATTTTCCATCTCAGCAGGTAGTGAATCACTCCTGTCAAGCCGTGTGCCAATTCTTGGATGTTGAACATTTCTTAATAGCCCTTGGAGTTTTGCATTCCCTCCGCCGGCGGCAGCAGCAAGGAATAAGGGCACCGTGCAACGCTCCTTCTGGCTACTCCCACCCGGCTGGCTTAGAAAGAGGCCTGTGTGTCTGCCCTTCAACTGTAGAAGACTGGAGGAGGAGGGGAGAGCCGGGCTGGTTTCTGGGAGCCAAAAGTCGGCAGGGACCTTCTTTGGAGGAAAGGATTTGATTAAAAGGCAGAAGCTTTCGTGACTCTTTGCTTCTTCCCCGTTTTCCTGCTGTATGTTTTGGAGCCACAGAAAACTCCTGTGCACTTTATTTCTCAAAGCCTGATGTTTTCCGAATGCCGAATCACACAATTCTCTTTTATTCTAGATGGTGTGAAGGAGGAATAACATTCAATAAAATTCAAATTGGAAGTTGTGGGTGCTCCAACACTGGAGGTTTTAAAGAAGTGATTGGACAGCCATTTGTCCAGAATGCTATATAGGGTAAGGATGTCCAAGCTTGGGAGCTTTAAGATTTGTGGACTTCAACTCCCAGACTTCCCCAGCCAGCTGGGAAGTCTGGGAGTTGAAGTCCACAAGTCTTAAAAGTTCCAAGGCTGGATACCCCTGATATAGGTTTTCTGCTCGAGCAGGGAGCTGGACTAGAAGACCTCCAAGGTCCCTTCCGAGTTCCAACCCTGTTATCCTGTTATGGACTTGCCACTAGTGAAATATACATTCAGAGGAGAGGAAAATGCCTCCCCCCATTCTCGCATCCCCTTCCCCATCTCTGAGTTGGCCTCCCTGAAAAGTACTGATGGCTCCTGAAACATTTGTCTCTGCACAAAGCCAGGTGCATCCAGAGAGGAGCCTGCTCATCCTTGAGGTTGCAGGACGTCAACACGCCCTTCTGAGCGTGTGGGGAGGAGAGCTGGGAGAAAGAGCGAGGTCCTGCCCCCTTGTTCTTGAGAGGAAGGCCTTGTCTGGGAAAAACCAAGGAGACGGGCTTGACCCCCTCCCCGTCTTTTCCCACATGCGAGCGGTCTGCAGTTCCTATCCAGTTGGCTGCCAGTGCCGAGGGCTGGCCTAACACGATCCAGATGGAGCCCCTCCATCCCTCCCTGGTGAGTTTCTGGGGAGTTGTTCTTGGCAGCTGCAGCTGAATGGCTGGAATGCAGCAGAGCCTTCCTTGGAAGGAGGCACCAAGTCTCTCTCCTCCCCCCCCCATCCTCAGCATCTGGATTGCATTTGGAGAGCAGGAAAGGATGCAGAGATCTCATGCCATCACCTCTTTAACTCTTTCCTCCTCCCTCTCCCGCCCGCCTGGGTCAGAAGGAGGAAGGGGCTGCCCAAAGGGTCTGCCAGACTAGACTCCAGGAGATGGTGAGTTCTAGTCCTGCCTCAGGCATGAAAGCCGGCTGGGTGACTTTGAGCCAACCATACTCCCTCAGCCAATCCACCTCACAGGGTTGTTGTCGTGGGGTGCTCTGCAGCTCTCGATGTGTGGAAGGGGGGGTGTCTGCAAGAAAAGAAGGGCCCTCCCCACATTAAGAAGCCCAAGGGGAGACGAGCTGCCGCTTCTCTTCCATCCAAGCAAAACTGCCATTGTCCCTGGACGGTTCATCCTGGGGATGACTCAGAGGACAGGGGCAGGAACATTGCTGGGCTGGGAAAGGGAATTGGGGGGGAGAAGGAAATAATTGGTCCCAACTGCAGTGAGTTTTGTCTGCTTTCCAACATTTGTTTCTTATTAGTTGTTGCTCCGGAGAAGCAACTTCACTCTGGAGAAGTGAAGCTCTGAAATGAGGGGCCCAAACGGCTGCCCTGCGTGCCCTCCACACTCCCATCTCCCAGGGACACAGAAGGCCGAGTCCCTGCCCCATTAATGCCATGGGACTGGATGCAAAGGATGCCCCCTTTCCCTCCCGGCCTCAGCCTTGACCTTGCCCAGGAGACGGAGGTCCAGTCCCACGTCTCAGCCTTGCTCTCCCTTGCAGGGTTCTTGTGAGAATGAGACGTGGGGGCACTTTCTGCTCTGAGCCACCGGGGAGAAAAATATACAAGAGAGAAACGCGAGCTTAATTTCCAGTTTGGTGACCAGTAGTTTTATTGCTCGCAAGGCTTGTTCCCCCAGCACTGCCGAGTCCAAGAGAGGCAACTGACCAGAGCACATCTCTCTCTCTGAATGGCCAGGTCAAGTCTCTTCCTTGCCTGAAGAGGTTTGGAGCTGAAGAGGCGAGCTGCTCTTTTTCTTACTTGTTTTGTTATTTTGGGTGGGGGGGCGTCCACCACACACCTCTGTGCTCCCCTGAGCCTCTTCTTCCTCATGGGGGCCACTCCACCCCTCCCCTCTACTACTAAGGGCAATGGCCATCAAGACATGCCCTCTCTCTTCTGAAGGAAACCCCAGAATGGCCCCCAGAATAGAATCTTCTTGATCTGCAGGAAATGAGGAGGATGCAAAATGGCATCAGTGAACAGGCTGGCATGCAATTATATCTGTGCCAGGGAAGACAATCGCTGTCCATACCCCAAGTGGCTTCCTAACACTAGGTCCAGAGCCTCCGCGATGCCCTCCCGTGCCCTGAGCACTTGGCCAGCCTACGCTCCGGGTGGCATCTCTCCCGGGCAGGCTCAGAGAGGCATCCACCCATCGTGCCACCTTCCCGCTCCGCGGTCTCCTGGATGACAGCACTTGGGACACGCCAGGGCTTCTGCTGGGTTCCATCTGCTGCAGAAAGTTCTCAGCTGCTGTTTGGCTCTCGGCTGTCACTCAGGGCGTATTTATAAATACAGCAGGAAGTCGAAAGGGGGGGGAGTTGGCGGTCCCACACCATGCCAGGCTCCATGTGCAGGCATCCAGGGCTGCAGGAATGCTGTCATCAGTCGAAATGATGCTCAGGATTTCACATGAGGCTTCTTACCCCTCAACACTTCCAAAAACAGCCTGGGAGAGTGGAGAGGAGTGGAAAATTTATCAGAGGAAGAGGGAGGGAGAGAGAGAGGAAGCCTGTCTGGAAACAAAAAGGATCTGGGAAAAGATCCTGTGCAACAGCCCCAAATCAATTCTTTGGGATATTTTAAACAGTGACAAGTGAGCATGTGCAGAGAGCATCTGTTCTCCCCTGAGGGCAAAAAGTCTCTGAGGTGAGAAGGTTTGAGTTAAGGCGTATTTGCATCTTAACTTTCCTGAAGCAAATTGGAAATGGGGACCAAGTTCTGCCCGTAGAAAGGAGCAACTCCAGGATGAGGAGGAAGAGGAGGATGAAGAAAATGGTTCTCTGCTGAGACCCTCAGATTCAGTAGTGGGTTTCAAAAAATTTTACTACTGGTTCTGTGGGTGTGGCTTGGTGGGCGTGGCAGGGGAAGGATACTGCAAAATCCCCATTTCCTCCGGATCAGCTGGGACTCGGGAGGCAGAGAATAGATGTAGGTCGGACCAGTCAGAATTTTTACTACCGGTTCTCTGAACTACTCAAAATTTCCGCAACCGGTTCTCCAGAACTGGTCAGAACCTGCTGAAACCCACCTCAGGCAAGGCTGGCTAGATGGAGAAAGGCTCTAAGTTGGTTGAAGGCGATTTGCTTTCCTCTTGGGAGAAGGTTCGGATTTCGCAGAGAGAGGCAAGAGACAATTGAGAAGAGCTGAGATTCTGGTCGGCTCTCGGTTCATCTCCTGCCAGCTGCTTTGGGTGGGGGTCTCTTCTCTTAAAGCACCGTGCCTGTCCTCTGTCCTCTTGCTAAGGATGGGGATTCTAGGCAGGGCCCTAGATCGAGGGATCTCTCGGGGATGGCCAGCCCATCGCTGCCAGGGCCTAGGCCTTTGAGGCCGCAGATCCTGGGCTCCATCCTGGCCCTCTCAAATCGGGAAGGTTGCGGTGGGAGAGGGCAGGAGGGCAGGTAGTCTGGCCTGAGGACAAGGCATCTTGTTTGGTTTTATGCGTGAGTCTCTTAACAGCCACTTTGCTTTGCAGTGGAAATTCTGTTCCAATTGTGGTCATAAATCCAGGACTGCCTATATTGCAGACGGGGGTGGGGTGGAGGGAGAAAGAGTTTCCTCCTGGAGATCTACCAGAGGCTCCAGCTGCCCCAGGAATCATAACACTGGATTACAAACCACAATGTTCGGGTTGTTGCAGCACACTAACTCAGCACCCAATTGCAACATGGTTTAGAGCAATGCAGCGGCTGAGTCCAAGCCTTCCTTCCGTGGGGCCTGCCCTGGGACCCATGTTTTTGTGGGTCAGCATCAGTCTCTTTGCGTCAGAGGCCGAAATTCACAGCACCTGGACTGAAGGTGAAAGGCTTCAGGTGAAGAAGGGAAACCTCTTGAGGATGGAAGTGGGTTCCCTGCTGCTCTGGCTCTGGGTCGGCCTCCCCAGAAGTAACATCTTTTTCAGACTTTCCCAACAGTGGAGAAGCGAGATAGACGGACAGACAGGGTGGGAATGCATGGCGAGGCTGGGAGGGGCTCCGGAGTCTTGGAGAAATGGCCTTTCCCTCTCCTTGGCCTCTGCTGAGCTGACTTACAACCAGCAAACTCCTGTTTGTTGGCCCCGACTCAGCTGCGTGCTGAGAACAGTGAAGGAGGTGGCTTCATCCTTGGCTCTCCTGCAGAAGACTTCATCCCAAAGAGATGCTCTTTGCAGGGAAGGGATGGCTGGGGAAACTGCCCTCCATGGGGGTCTCGCTGAGCCTCCTGGGAATTCTGGAGAATCCGGAAGGGGACCCTTTTCAGAGCAGCTTCCCCTGGAGCTGAAGAGCCCATCTCTGCCCTTGCCGGATTCCTGTCTGGGAATCCGGCTGCTCTCGGCACAGCTTGGCTTGTGGGTAAATGGGGCAAGGTCCCTGCGTCACCGCATTGGGGTATGCACCCTAATCAAGGGGGCTAGGAGGACCCTTTTGGCAATCCGATTAAAGAACAGCAGGCTTTGAAGAGTTCTATCCGTTCTTCATAGGAGATCCTGAATGCACCAAGAATGAAAGAAGGGGCAAGGGCTATGACTGAGTGGCTGGCACAGACATGCACCGGCTAGTTCCAACCAATTCCCTGGGCTGCATGCCAAGGAGGCCGCCTCCCTCCCCCAACCCAGGAATCGCTGAGAAGTTATCCTCTCAGCCCCTGGAAGGCTGCAGCCCCATCTACGCCAGAGGGGAGGGGGTTTGTTGTGTTGAAGCTATTTGTGTCCCTGAGGAAGGTCCCTGCACCTTCCCCAGGGATGTACCCAGGACTGGGCACCACTCAGCGATGCTCGCCCACTCTGGGAAAAGAGGCTTCCCTGCCTTAAGAAAGCTCGGCTCCCTGCTTAGGTTGCTGTTCTGGCCCTCCAGGAACATCTGCTTTGGCTCTGCGCCTGGCTTTATTTAGCACAGGCAATGTCCTTTCCCGCGCTCTCTCTCATGGTGTGCGAAGTTCACTTCATGGTGCCACAGTTGCCGTGGATTAGGGATGATCTGTTGCCCCCTGAAAGCTGGCAGCTCCATCCCCTCCAGGAGCCTCTGGCTGACCCCAGGCAGGGCGGCAAAGGGGAGACTTTCCTTCTTTGGTTCTCCTCCGAGCCCTGGCCGGGCCGGGCCGTGAGACGCCGTGACGGATTGCCGCAGCTGCTGGCACACTTGTGCGGAGCCGTCAACCTCAAGTGCATCCTCTTTAATGGAGCAGGGAAAGAAATGAACTTGGCAGCCCGGGTGGCTGGTGGCAGGTGCCTCTGTTTAGATGTGGCAGCTGCTCCCGCTTTCTCTCCCCAAAGTCACCCCACCTTTCTCCTGCTCTGCCCCAGCTAGCTCACCCCCAAACAATCTTCTGGAAGGGCCACAATGGGCAGAGAGGGCACCCCCTTTTGCAAGAGCAGCCAGATAGCAGACTTTCTCGGAGCATCTGGAACCAGCTGGCTGGGGGAGTGCGCAGGGGCCCAATCCCGCTCCAGTGTTGTTGGCCACACGCGTTATTTGTGGCATTAAATGCCGTGCATTTTCAAAGTTCCTCACCGCATACACTTAATTTGAAGACTAAACAGCTCATAAAACTGCAACGTCCAGCCCGACATAAATTCGCAGTATAACCTGCAACCCACAGCCAGCCCAGAATTCCATAGGCAGGTCTTGAAACGAAAAGGTGGCGATGATCTCAGCGGATCCCATGTGGCAGTTAAGCCTGGAGCTGATTGTGTGGTTGGGGCTTAGAACAATGAGCGAGCGTGGAGGCCGTGAAATACAGCTTAGCATTATGTGTGACGCAGGTCCCTGTGGCTTGTTGAACAAACCACGATTCAGCTCAAGAGGTGAATCCATTTTGAGTTAAGAGTTCTGGGCATACAGAGAAGTTAGTATGACTTGATAATGAAAAAATAGAGATGAAAGTGAACCAGTGTTGTTGTTCAACCAGATGCTACCATCCAAGACCTCATTTTTCTGCAGGGGTGGTGGGGGAGGGGATGGAGTGGGGTGTGTGATGTGACCTGTAGGCTGGATTGGGGAGCCAGACACACCCCAACACTGGGATCACATGCCCCCTGCTCCTAACAGGGTGGGCCATCTCTTTTAGATGGGAATGCAGGTGCTGTTATGGTTTATTCAATCCTGGTAAGCCATGTTTTATGGTGGTTTGTGAGAACTTGGCCACTGAGCTGCAGGAGTCCAAATCAGGAGTGGCAAAAGCTGGGGAATTGTGCTTTACCCCAGCTAGTCTTCCTCTGGGCATCATGATGTCATCATGGCTATTTAAAAAATTGCCTTATTTGCATGATGGTGATGGTGCTATGCAACCATCCTGTCCCATGTGCCCCCCCCCAGGTGCCTGTACCACTTTGTCTCTCTCAGGATGTTGGTCTCGATAGCCACACCTGTCTCAGCTCTGATTCCCAGGCCTTCTCGGGGGGTGGGGGCTCTCAGCAGGTGGCACCAGCCCAGTCTCTCTGTCCAGCTGTCTGTCTGTCTCTAGCTGCACCTTCAGGCCTGGTTGCTCACACCTTCCTCCCCTTCTCGCTTCCCCCTTGCAGGCAGCGCAGAGAATCAGGCAGCCACGATGCCCGACTCGCCGGCCGACGTGAAGACGCAGTCCCGCTCCACACCCCCGAACATGCCCCCACCATCACCAGCGGTCTCCCAGGGAGCCACACGGCACCCCACCTTCACCTCAAACCCCAGTGAGTACCCCCTTTACCCCTCAGGGCTGAGTAGCAGGGAGGTGGGAGAGGGAGATTTGCTGAAGGAGGCATGGGGGGGTGCTCCCTTCCTCCCAATTTTTCTGGGTTCTGCTGCTTGTTGCTTGAGTTTGACAGTATTAACGGGACAGCCTTAAAGTAGAACTGAATGCTTTGATGGGGGGGGGGGAGTTCCTCCCACTCTGGATTTCTGCTGCACTGCTTTGATAGAAGGAAAGGATACCCTGAGGTGATCTCTGCTGACAGGTTCTGGCATGACCAGGGCTCTGGATTTGGGCATGCAGTTCCTGACCTTCATGCAGGAAAATGCCTTTGATGGGGGAATCAGGAGTGCAAAGCAAAGCAAAATGGGAAGGTTGCTTCCTCTCTCCCCCTCCTGCAAGGACCCTCCCTTCCCTACAATGGCCTGGGCTCATGTTTTCTTTGGGGAGGAGGGAAGTGCTGAAGGAAGCCCCCAAAGACAGGAGAGAGGCAGGCAGGTGCTTCTCCTGCCACACCAAACCCCGCAGGCAGATAATCGGCAGCCCACTCCCCCCCACTTTTGTGGAAGGGTTCTGGGCTTCTCCTTGGACCCAGAATGACTTCGGGTGCCAGGCGGGTGGGCTTGGATGCTGTCCACCCCCACCTTCTCTCTCTGGGCCTCTTTCAAATGCTGCCATATGGCACTGCATTTGGAGTGCCAAGAAAACGGTCCCTGGCCCCACCCCGTGGGAAGCGCTGGCTTCGGCGGATGCCAGCCGGCTCCCGTTCTGCTCAGGCAGCTTCAAAGCAAAACAGGCTTTGCAAAAGGAGAGGAGCTGAACGGGCAGCCCAGCAAAGGAAGACCAGGGGCAGCGCCCAGAAGGAGAGATGCCCTGGTCCCGGGCCTCAGATATTGCAGAAATAGGGACCTACCCTGCACATGCTCTTAGAGGGGATGCTTAGACCTCGGTGGGATGGATTGGCACCTTTTTTGTGTCCCAGAAATAAAAGATCTGGCTGGTCTTTGCCAGAGACCCCTTGTTCACGTGGCTCATGCCAGGCTATTTTGCCCCAAACGATCTTTAGAATGAATTGGATGGTTTTAACCTTGGGCCCTGGTGAGAAACAGCTCCATCTGCTGCCAAGGCCCACTTCACCCCATCAAAGGCAGAAACTTTGGGGTGTGGAAGAGCCGGTGGGAGAAAGGGAAAGGAGGCCACCAAAGGGGTGGCTGGGAAGACATGGAGCCATTCTTCACTGTCTCCAAAAGGTGTGGCTTTCCTGTACTTCTCTTGTTCCACCGTGGGAGGTGGGCAGTGGGGCCTGCCCTTTGAGCAGGTGGAAGGCGCCCCCCTTGCTCGAACAGAGTCCTGCCCAGCGAGGGGGTTCGCCCTGCCTTGCATGGACTCCTAGCAGTTGCTCCTGTTCCGTCTGGCAGACTCAAATGGACCTGGAGCAAGGCTGAGGGAGCTTCCTGCGTGGTCCAGGGGTCAAGGCCTGTCCCCCGTCCAGAATGTCATGTGCTCTTTGCATGCCACAGAAGGGGAGGGTTCCATTCTTGGTCAGAACATCTAGTTCAGATGTTCTCAGGTCATATTCTTTGCTTAAGGTAGCCAGCCTGGAGGAGAGTCAGGCAGGGCATGAGGCAGGGATGAGTTTTTCTGCACTCCTTAAGCTGGTTTGCAGTTTCCAAGTGCTCCTTCGGTGCCATTCAGAGTCACCCACCAGGGTCTGATTGTTGCCTATATCTGGATTTCGGCCTTTGACTTGGCTGGTGAGAACGCTGGGTAGCTCTGGCTTGGCTGACGGCCACCCCTCAGCCAGCAGATCCCCATCCGGCAGCCCAGTTGCCCATAGTGCCCCCACCATCTGGCACCACCTCCAGTCCTGGGGATTGGGAGCGGCATCCCCATGGCCAAAGTTGCAGGGCAGTGGGCGGAGGCTGTGTGGCAGATGGGCAACTTTCCTCCGCTTGCAGGTGAACGCTCCAACGGCAGATGGGTTCCGTCTCCGCAGGCACAGGGCTCCGTGCCGAAGCCCCAAAATAGTTGCTGCGAGAACACTCGAGGCGCCAGATCGTTTCCCTGTTCAGCTTCAAGCTGCAGCGCCCAGCTCAAAATTAGCAACTTTGGAACTGAGGGAGAATTCCTCCTCCTCCTCCTTCCTTCTCCTCCTTCCCTCTCCTGAAGGCTGGCAGGCTGCATGACTGGCCCGACGGCTGAGCCCCAAGAACAGCCCCCAGCCTTTTTATGGAGGGTCTGTTTTTCATGTCCCTCCTTGCCACTTTCCATGCCCTGAATGACGGCTCCAAGTCAATTTGAGGCAACTTCTTTGACCCAAACCTTCTCTGAGGAGGCCGTGTCCCGATGTGCTTTTGGTTGTCCTCAGCAGGACAACCTGAAGAATTGGGAGTCCCATAAAGGAGGCTCCTTTTCACACACCCCAGACATACCAGGATAGCTGCTTTCTCCACAAGTAATGTGTGGATGCATTTCTAGGATTTGAAGTAGGGAAGGATGGGAAGGGAGGAATTTCAGTCCGATTTGAGAGGGACTTTGCAGGCAACGGGTGCTTGGCAGAGACTAAAAGCTGTGCTAACTCCAACTCTTTGGTTGGAAGTTAATCCCCCTCCCCCGGTCAGGGCATTGCTTTCAGGGGATCCCACAGCCAAAGGAGAGGATTCCTGCTCCCAAGCAGGCCCAGGATTGGAACCCACCCATGTGCAAAGGGAAGGCTGGGTCAGTTTTCCACCTGGTGCTTCTGCAGCCTTTCTGCAAACTCTTCCCAGGAAAGTCCAGCCTCTGGCTCAGCTGAGGAGCATCTTCTGGCACATGGGCAGCATCAGACGAGGACCCTCTGCCAGCAAGGGCAGAAGAACGTTACGCCCCAGTGTGTAAAATGTTGGCGCTAGCCTCAAAGTATGCTTAGTCTGGAACCGGAATGTCCCCTTCTCATGGATGCCTGCAGACTTGAAGAAAGGCTCAACGGTTCTCGGCCACCATCCTCAGGCAGAGAGTCCAGCTCTAGTTGAAGCAAAGAAGCTGCAGTTCAAAGCGGTCCTAGAGTTGCTAAAGCAGCAAACTCAACCCCACTTGTTTTGGGGGCTGCCTGGACCAAGCACTGCTTTCCAGACCTTCAAGGCAGCAGTCCCACAAAAAACATCCACTAACTGTGGCAGAGTTTCCTTCCTTCTGTGGAGCAGGAGGTGACCCAATTCTTCCTTTTCTTAATCTGTAGGAAGGGGAGGCAGCCCAGTCTTGTTCTGGGGAGGGACACCTGCAAGCAAGAGGTGGGCCATCCACCCTGGCTCTCAGTTGCCAACCTATTTTACCGTCTCCTGATATATTTTGAATCTTCGGGTTACTGAAAATAGCCGTGAGAGTAAGGTGTGCTTTTCAGAATGCAAGTCTGCCTGTTTCTCAGCCTGCCCTGCCCTCTCCACACTTTCAGCCAAGCCTTATGGGTTCAGGAGTCTATACTCTTAGATGAAGCTCTCTGTAGACAGAACATGGGAAGGGCGATAGAATCACACAGAAGTTGCTAATTCCTTTTAGGGGCAGTTCTGCATGGCTTTCCTTTTTGCAAAATACCTTGGTTTGTATTGAAGTGATATCCTTGTGAGGTGCAGCTTGATGAATGCATGATTGCTATGGCAAGGAAGAAAAGAAACTTCTTTTTCATCCATGGGCCCAAGGGCAGCCGAGCCTGATTTGGCATGACGGCTGCCAGTTGCTTACCTCTAGCTCTGCAGCGTCAGGATAACGGGCGAGCACCTCAGTGTGGCCATCAGCAGGACTTTCACCGAGGAACGGTAAACCCCTGAAGGTGCCTGTAGATTAGAGTTGGTCATAAGCCAAGGAGGGGTTCCTTGTTTTGGCTTTGCTCTGCCCAGCCTGGCTGCTTCTGAGCCTCTTGAAAAGGGAGGAGAATTTCTAAGGGTTTCGGCCCTGGAAGTAAAAGGCCTATGTCCAACTGGACCTCCTCACGGAGACCATAAAGCCTGACTGTCCCCAGCTTAGTGCGATGATAAGGCCTCTCCCCGCCTCGGGTCTCTCCTGATAGCGTATGTTTTATTTTACTTGCAGATCGTGATGCTGGGCCGCCGATGTTTCTCCCACGCGGCCGATTTCATGGTTGCCTGAAATGGTCCATGGTGTGTCTCTGTAAGTAAGATGAAACAAACCCTCCTCTAGAGACCCAGAGGCTGAGCCCCGCTTGGCTTGTGCCGGGCAGGAGGGAGGGGGGAGCTGCCAGGCAGCAGCACTCAGATGCTGGGGTTGGGAAAGGGGGTGCAGATCCCGCCTGGGTTGGGACCCCTTCCCGTTTGCTCCGTGCAGGTCCCTAGTTAGCAGGGTAGGGCCCCAAAAGTGAAAGTGACAACTGCCTCGGTGGGATCCAGTCTCCACATTTTTCATGTACAAAATGCAAAGCACATTAAAAAGAGATGGAGCTTGGACGACTCTGTGGCAGCCCCCAGCGTCTTGAGATACCTTGTAAAGACCACTGCTGATCACTGAGCCGGCATAACAAGGAGTTCAACCCAGAGGACTGTATTTAGGATTCAAGTTTATCCCTGCCTCTCCCCTGCAACGGGCTATTTTAAATCGGCCTTCATTTCCGCTCATGTCTATCTGTCAGAGGTCAGTGGCTTGTTGCGGGAGAGACCCCGATGCAGCTGCACTTCAGCGTGTCTCCCTTCCCAGTCGTTGCAGGGCGCAATTGGTTGAGTCAGGATAGAAAAACCCTTTGGAAATCCTTCACAACATTTATTTGCGTCAGATCAGCGGTGCTGAGACCAAGCAGCAAATGTAAGGCATTTTATGTTGCTTCCCTCCGGCGTTTGCTGGGAGATGCAAAAGGGCAACACGGGGGAATTTTGGTCTGTTTTTCCTGGCCTTAACATGAACCATTAAGATGTCTTCAAGGAAGCTGGACCACAAGCATTTTAATAGGGTTGTTCCCTGGGACAGCTGGGAGGTTTGTGGGCATGTCATACCACCACATACAAATCCAGAGAGTCCCTAGGAAGAGGCTGTTCCAATCCCAGGATCACATGGAAGAGGCGATGGTTGGAGCCAATAATGCCCCTCTCGCTGCTCAGGCAGGCCGAGGAAGTCCCCAGGACTATGATCTCTAGGCTAAATTCATGTGTCGCTCCGGAAGTGGCTGTTCTCCCAAGCTTTGAGGACAAGCTGAGCAGAAATATCTCTTTTTGCTTCATGTAGCTTTCCTTTCGTGTTCTCTGGTCTCCTGGTCAGAAGTCTGTTCTTGAATTTGCTTGGTATTTAGCTGTAAGCTGCCCAGACTCCCCGGGGAGTCAGATAGCCTAGACATTAAATAAAATAAAAACAGAACAAATATGCATCAGGTAATGGGGAAAGGACGCAAGAGCGACCCTTTTTTGATCCCATCTGGACCCAGCAGTCACTCAGGTCCTCCAAGCAACGCTGCGGTCATTCTCCAGCCTCCTCCCAACGCTTTTCAGGAACCAAGCCCCAGAGCAGAATCCAGGAGGTTCCTCCTGGCTGCCCAGATGCCCGCCAGGCAAGGTAGGGGTCCAGCAGTGGGCACCCCGACTTTTCCAAAGAATCACCACCTTTAGCCAAGGGGAACCCCCCGTGCCGCCTCCATCCCTGAAGCCCCAGCCCCAGAGACATGTGTGAAGTTTAACTTAGTAACGCACCTGTCACTGGAATAAAAGCAGTTGTGGCCGAGCGGTTATTTTCGGCACCTCTTTAGCAAGCGGCCGCTCTCGTCCTGCCGGAGAGGGAGTCGGCGCCCGAGGAAAGCAGCAAAGCTCTGGACGGCTGCAGCTTTCCACAGCACTGTGGTGACAACGGCAACGGTTAGTGGTGCGTGATGAGTCCTGGTGAAGGCAGCCTCTTCCCTAGCCTACTTGGGAGGGATGGTTTTCAGAGGTTGGGGCATTTGCGGCTGGCCTTTCGTCTCTGCCAAGCAGTGGAGGCTGACAGTCCCTTCTCCTCTGCATGTGGGGATCTGAGGTGGCCACTCTGCTGGTCTTTCAAGGGCACCCACATGGTAGTGCAAGCATGCCACACCTGCCAGGTCGGGAATAGCAGGAGGGTCAAAAAGGCACCACAGCTGCAAGTGCTCCACCTGGATGAAGCCGGTCCTTACCCCACCCCACCCTGGTCTTCAGTCCAGGGAGGCTTGCAAAGAGCCAAGGCAGGAGGGCTGGACTCAGGTTTATTTTTCTGACCTAAGGACATGTCCTCTTGTTGGGTCTGGAAATAGTTGGGGCTGTGGGCAGGCACTCCCCCTCTGCATTCCTGCCTGGACGGGAAGCGAACAAAAAAATTTTGTGTGACAAGGACTGGAAGGAGCAGAGGAGAAGTGAGCTCGAGAGGTGGTTTGAAATGCAAGCTGGCCGCTGGGAGGAAATCCTTCCATGGAGTCAGAAAGCAGCCCCAGCCTGCCTGTGTTCACATGGAAGTGAAGCTCCGGCTCTTCAGTGGGGCTGCCTTTTAGGAGGTACCAATCTGGGCTCTTGTAACAGAACCAGATTCCTTTCCCTGCTTCCCCCCAGGACTCACCATCTTTTGCATTGCCCTCCTATGGTTGTTCCTCTTGCGTCAGCAGCCAAGGTGTGTCGACCAGGAGCATCTCTTGAAAGACATCAACCCCTCCTTGCAAGGCTGCACAGGAGACTCTGGAGGGGTCCGGATAGCACTCGGCCCCTCTTTCTGTAGGGAGGTCTGGAGGTCTTTCCGCTTGGTATTTAATGGAAACCCTCCCCTCTTCCCATCTCACTCGTTCCTTTCTGAAGGCAGTGGGGCCCAGTTTGATTTTGGGAAGCAAGAAAAACTCTCATGAAAAGTTTGTTGTTCTTCTCTTCTATAACATACTTTTAATATTTCAACACTTAGGATCCTTTTATCAGCTTGATGGTTTGCTGGTTTATTTGCCTTCCTTTGTTGTCAATCTGCACAAATCTAGAATTCTAGGTATCCCCCAGACTGAAAGGTAGGATGGCGTTTCCTTAGCAGTCTCTTAGAAGAGGGTGGCCCTGCCTTCTTCTGGAACAGCTGCTCACTTGCCACATCGGATTCCTCGCCCTGAATCTTGAGAGCTTCCCTGCCTGATCAAGGTCAAAGTTTTCATCTATACCTTGACTTCAGTCCAAGCATATTTAAAGTGGTCCATCTTAATCTCTCTAAGTTCATCTCATTGGATCTTACTCCTTTCTCCAAGCGATGCTCACTCAGTTCCTTAAAACCTTCTTTGTCCTTTCCAGTTAGTTTATTACTTAATTAGTTTAAATTATTACTTATTAGTATAGGATTCCGGAGATATTAAAAATGCTCACTTTGTCCAAGCTGGGATCACCCCCTGCGAATGAGGTGGTGAAGCCACCAAATAGTAAAAGGCATTCGACTTGGAAGGGAAAATTAGGATGCTTCAGGCTCCAACAGCAAGTATTAGTGGTCTCTGGATTGCTCTCCTGGGAATAAGAGGACAGGAAGAAAAAGATGAAAATGTACTTGGCAGTTCTACTTCTAGAGAATTTTGAATTTTCCTGCAACTCCCTCAACGGTTCCTTCTTCCCTGGCAGTAATGAACGGAAGCAGTCATTCCCCGACGGCCATCAACGGAGCGCCCTCCACGCCCAACGGCTTCAGCAACGGGCCGGCCACGTCCTCCACTGCTTCGCTGTCCAACCACCAGCTTCCTCCGGCCTGTGGGGCTCGCCAGCTTAGCAAGCTGAAGCGTTTCCTTACCACCCTGCAGCAGTTCGGCAGTGACATCTCTCCAGAGATAGGGGAGCGGGTTCGCACACTGGTGCTGGGCCTCGTGGTGAGTTCCAGGCCCCTTTGGGGGGTGGGGGGTGGGTCAAAGACTCTGGAGTACAGTCAGCCCTTGGCTTATGACCACAGTTGTTTAGTGAGACAGTTGTTAAGTGAGTTCTGCTCCGTTATACAACCTTTCTTGCCATGGCTGTTAAGTGGATCACTGCAGCTGTTAACTTAGTAACATGGTTGTTAAGTGAATCTGGCTTCCCACTGACTTTGCTTGTCAGAAGGTCACAAAAGGGGATCACGTGACCTTGGGATGCTGCAAACAGTCATAAATACGAGTGAATTGCCAAGTGTCTGAAATTTGATCCTGTGACCATGGGGATGTTGCAATAGTTGCAAGAGTGAAAAACAGTCATAAATCACTTTTTTCAGTGCCGTCGTAACTTTGAATGGTCACTAAACAAACTACCATATTTGCAACCACCATCCTTAGTCAGATGCTCCTGTAAAACCCATGGGGCTGTTGGTCCCACTTAATACAGTTGAGCTCCTGCAGTGCAGAATCTTAACACTCCTAAAAACCCAACAAGCATTCCATTGGGGAAGCCAAGGTTTTATTCATCACATCCCTGACGCAATCAAAGGTGTGTTGAGCAGCAGGTTGGTCTAGAGCCGTGTTTCTCAACCTTGGAAGCTTGAAGATGGGTGAACTTCCGCTCTCAGAATTCCTCAGCCAGCTTTGCTGGGACTTGAAGTTCACAAGTCTTAAAGTTGCCAAGGTTGGAGACCCCTTGTCTAGAGAAGCGATCGGATTTTGAAGGCACACACTTGTTTTTGTGGCAACAGATCAACGCAGCTACCATTCTGCAGTTTGTTGGTGTGCAACATGCCTGGGCCTTGTTAACCCGCCTTACCCAACCCAACCCAACCAGATATGATGGAATTACAATGCCCAGAATTTCCAGCAAGTTGTTTGGGAATTCTGTGTGTTACTATCCGAAAGGCATGGAAACATGTCAAGTCGGTTGGCAAAGCTGACTTTGAAGAAGACAACCTGAATAAAGGCCCTTCTGGCTTCATTGTGAATTCATCCATTGACCACTTTTGATGTTCCCCTTGTAGAATTCCACACTGACCATTGAAGAATTCCATTCTAAGCTCCAGGAGGCCACAAACTTCCCCCTGCGCCCTTTCGTCATCCCGTTCTTGAAGGTAAGACTTCCCCCCTGCGTGATTCAAGTCCCACTGATTCGTTTCCAAAGGGGGGCTTCACTATCCCAGCAGCCCCTTGTCTATTTGAACAAGAGGAATGGATCACTGTGAGCTGAGTGTTCCAGCCCTCTCAAAAACCCACAATGTCATTCATGTCATGCATTTGAGAGCATGCAATAAATGCACGGAAAACTTTTATTTGGGAAAACCCTGCTGGGTGATCAGCACAGCCACTGGTAGGTGATCCTCCCTTGTGGATCTCAATTGGTTTCCTAATAGCAGGATCAAGGAAAGAAGGAGGATGAGTCAGAGCGGAGCTGTCTTCTCCCATGGAAAGTGGGTGGCGTTCCCAAGGACGCTTGCAAGGAAATCAAGGAAATGACTCCAAGATGACGAGGAGAGTCTGTTGCAAGCCTTTTGCCTGTGGAAATTCCCAGGACAATCTCCGAGCCTGAGGAGCTGCGGCCAGTCTAAAAGTGACCATTCTGGTTCAATGGACAAACAAACACTTTGACTGGACAAATCTCCAAATCTGTTCTGACGGGCAGGAATTCTCTACTGCAGGAGTCTCCAACCTTGGCAGGTTTACGACTTGTGGGCTTCAAGCTGGCTGGCTGAGGAATTCTGGGAGTCCACAAGTCGTAAAGCTGCCACGGTTGGAGACTCCTGCAGTAGAGAATTCCTGCCCATCAGAACAGGCAGTGGAAGCTTAGCTGAGCAAAGGGCAATCAAGACCCTCACAGGGGTAGCAGTCTGCCAAGCTTCTCTTTCCACCCCCACCCCACCCCATTCTGCGGGTCCTTCTCTCCTCTTGCACTGATTTCTCCAGCCCAGCCTAGCAGTTTTCAAGTATTTTTGCTTGGAAGAATTGCATGCCGTCAGAAGGGCTGCCAGGGAAAACCTCTGTTGCACAGTAAGGAAATGCGTTGTTTGGAAATCTTGTTTTCTAAAAGCATCATAGCTTTAACTGAGAGTTCACTTTCTAGATTTATTGAACGTTTCTGGAGAAGTAAGTTGTCCTTAAGGAGAATTTGCTCCTAGAAATACCAGCTGGCCTTGCTGGCTCTTTAGAGGTCTAAAAGGAAGACGCCCCGACATTCTCCTCTCCTCTTCCTTGCCCAAGACAGCACCAGAAGAAGGCTGACAGCCCTGAGTTCACAGCCTTCCAGCTTGACCACCTTGGGGGTAAAGATGAAAGGAAAGCCCCCCCCCCCCAGTGATCCCAATTCAACCCTGGTTCCTTTGGGCTATTTGTTCCACAGAGCCCACTTGGGTGACCAACAACATGTCTCGATTGGTGCTTGGTCTCCACAGCCTCTGGGGAAAACCGGTCCTCTCTTTGGCACAGGATTGGGGCCGCCTGCCAGCCCTGGTGCCTCCAAAGGAGCCTCCCCACACCCGACAGCCTTCTTTCTCCCTGCCTCCTCTGCTCTCCAGCACCCTCTCCCAGCTGTCTTCCACCCGGGGCTCCAGATGCTTCTCATTACGCTAACTCAAAGCAGGCGGCCCCCAGCATGCCTTTCCCAGAGATGTTATTTATTCCTTTTTATTATTTTTCTTTCTGGAAACGTGGAGCCGAGGCAGAGAGAGGGAGAAGGTGGTGGAGGAGGAGGAGGAGGGTTTGCTGTCCTGGAATCCACAGTGGGGCATTTTATCAGCTCAAATGTCTTCAACAGATGGCGGTTTGGCCGGCCATCGGCTGCTTAAGTAGGAAACCAGGGTTGGCTCGTGGCAGGACTTTGCTTGCCTGCTTAATCACTTCGGTGGATGCTCCTCCCTGGAACCAAGCTCCTCACTGGGAGAACCTCACTGGGCGGGGAAGAAAGCAGTTGTGTTTTATTTACAAACACTTTCTGCTAAAAGCATGGGAGCAGGGGTGAAATGCTACCGGTTCGGACCAGTTCGGCCAAACTCGTAGCGATGGCAGCGAGTGGTTCGGAGAACCAGTAGCGACGGTAGTGCGAGGCTCCGCCCACCCACGCGGTTGTCATTATTTCCTGGTTTAAACCAGGAAATAACTTGTTTTTTACCCTCTGCACATGCGCTCACGCGGCACGTGCACTTCTGAACTGGTAGGGAAGGTAAGTAGATTTCACCCCTGCATGAGAGATGGGAATAAGGACCCTGCAGATCCTGAGAACCATTGGAGGAGGGCCAGAGGACTTTCTCTGGGAAAGTCATAAGATGAGACACCAAAGAGCTTCCTGCTTATAACAGGAACTCCTATCCAGTAAGATTCCTTTGGAAACCCCACGGAGAGGAGAGGCTGCCCCCTTGTTCTCTCTTCATGGTACCTCTTGCCCGCTTAGGCCAACCTGCCCCTGCTTCAGCGGGAGCTTCTCCACTGTGCCCGCATGGCCAAGCAGAGCCCAGCCCAATACTTGGCGCAGCACGAGCAGCTCCTGCTAGATGCCAACGCCTCCTCGCCCATCGACTCCTCGGAGCTGCTGCTGGAGGTCAACGAAGGGGTCAAAAGGCGGACGCCAGACAGGTAGGATGCCAGCCTCGAGCATGTGTGAGAAGGGGGAGGGCGTCCTAGGCTGGGGACAGCCTTGCCAGGCATTATTCTTAAGAAGGACTTTTGACCTGCATGGTGCTTTATAGAGGCCAGGTCCTCATCTGGGAGGATCACAGCCTAAAACAGCAAAGGGGGCTGAAAGCTGGAGAAAGGAGCATCTCCAAGGCAATTGGTGACCCCACTGAGAAAGAGGCGAAGCCATTCTGGGTCCTTTGGCTCCCTTCATTAGCAGGAAACCCATGTCGAGCGATCTGTGCCCCTCAGGATGACTGACATAGAGCGAGGATACAAGCTTTTCTGGGAGCTTGAGGGATTGCCTGCCCTAACTGGGAAGCAGAGAGCACCAGTCTCCCTGTGGCTCCGATTAGCGGAGCAATCGAGGTTAGGGGACCACATGTTAGGGGATACAGCTCCAAAGATATATTGGTGAATTCACCAAGCTTTAGGTCGGTCTTTATCCTGAGCCGGTCAACCTCAAACACCATTTTGGAGGTGACCAAAAAGGAAATGGTTGAACTGTAAACATCCCTCCGGAGAAGAGCCCAGGGACTCCTTCTAAAGACCAGCCAGTTGGCAATGTCCAGGAAGAAGCATTAATGTGCTGGGGTCACTTCCAGGGGGGTTTGCCATTCAGTCAGTTGTCATAGAGGCTGTGTGAACCTGGTCATTCTGGGAAGCTGAAACAGGCTGTCTTGGGCACTGCTTGCCTTCTATTTGGGCAGCCTGGCAAATTCACTGTAGCGCCCTGACACTGGGGTGTTTTCTTTGTGGCACAGGACCAAAGAGAATGGCTTGGACCGCGACTCCCTGCACCCTGAGCACCTCAGCAAAAGGCCTTGCAACCTAAGCCCTGCCCAGCGGTACAGCCCCAGCAATGGGCTCAGCCATCAGCCCAATGGGCTGCCCCACCCCACCCCTCCTCCCCCTCAGCACTACCGCCTCGAGGACATGGCTGTGGCCCATCGCTACCGGGACACCTACCGCCCTCCGGATCCTCGGGACCTTCGGGAGCATCCCCGGCCAGCAGGTGAGAGAGCACTCGGGAGCAGCGGGCGGGGGAAAGCCAGCAAAGGTGGGCAGGGGTCCAGCAAGGAAAAGTGGGCTTGGTGGGCGGGTCCCCAAAAAGAGAGGAAGGCTTGAGCACTGCAGGATTGGACCCAGGCAATGGAGGAGCCTTGGAAGAGCTGGGAAGAAGCGTCAAGGATGGTGCGCAAAAGAGCTCAGTTGGGACTCGCCATCCCCCTACCCCTCCAGGTTTAAGTAGGAGTGGAAAACAACTCTTGCCAAGCAGACAGAGGGTCTTTGCTTCCACTTCTGCAAACAAAGCTCCCTTGTTTAGGAGATGGCAGAAGCAAAGGGCAGGTCTGATGATGTCCCTGCACAGCAGGGGTCCCAAAGCCCCCTGCAAGCCCTCAGAGCAAAGAGGTTCCTGTGACACCCCTCAGTCTTTAAATATGGCAAAACACCCAAGAAGTAGTCATCCTAGCTCTATTTCATGAACAGAATTTGGTTTAAAATTGCATTCAAATGGAATTCAGCACTTGCCTAATTTGGGGAGGCCAGCTGCAGTGTGTCCCTGAAGTTGTGTCTGCTGACAGGAATTTGGGTGGACGGCCTCTGGTTCCCCAGGGACTGGGGGTTTCCGGGAGGGTTGAGGTCCTGTCCTTCCACCCCACTCACGATGCTTCTTCCCTGCAGCCGTCCACAGTTCCCGGCAAGAGGAGGTGATCGACCATCGGTTGACCGAGCGAGAATGGGCTGAAGAGTGGAAACACCTCAACAATGTACGTACAACGGCTTTACATTTAATGAATGTGCACATCTCATGTGTGACTCTGGGAAGCTCATGACAATTAAAAACCTCAGATACCATAAAAAGTACGAACAAACACAACGACTATACAAAAACCACTCTTAAAAACTCAAGCAAACCTTAAACCTAACCGCATCAGTAGCTGAGTACCAAACCTCACATCCATTTAATACAAGCCTTGCCAAGACTCACCGCCACTGTTGGCTCCCCAGAGATAAGGCCCCAGGAAAGTCTTTGGGCCCCTCCTAAAGGCCGGCAGGACAGGACAGGAAAGGAGCCCATCGTGGTTCCTGGGCAATGAAGTTCCAAGGGTGGGCACCGTGAATGGACTCTGTGGGTTTGGCAATCCCTGGCACTGAGTAAGAAGCTACTTTAGGAATATCAAACCGTGTGGTCTGGCTTATGATCAAACCAGCAGAGGCTTGCAGAAGGGTTACAAGAACTGGGGGAAATCAGCAGGTTCTGCTGGGGGAGGATTGTCTGCATGGAGGTTGAACCCCTCAGGAGAAAATGAAACCTTGGCCATTGGCCCTTGGGAGCTGTTGCGGCCCTTCCCTTTTGTGCCTTGTGAATCCCAAGCCTGCCCCTCCCCCCTTCCCTGATCTGATCCTGACGCATGGCTGACTCAGTCGCTTTTTTCTTGGCCTCCCCCTTTTTCTGAGCTGAATGAAGCATTCTCAAGGTAGCAAACAAGAAGGTTCCCCCCTTATTGTCAATCACTTTGGCCCTGGTTCATCCAGCAGATGCGAATTGCAATAAATCATTGCATGAAAAATAAGCCACAAAGTTTAGGAGGGGCCAGAAGAAAAGGAGAGGCCCAAGGCTGCCTTTGGCCAGTTGCAGCTGACCCTCAGGCAGGCTAGATGGATGGGAAGGTCCTTCCTGAGCTACCTGGCGAAGGAGGAGGAGGGGGGCAGGGAGGGAAGGGGGAGATGGAGAGCGATGCTCACCTCCCCGCTTTTTTTGTCATCTGCACAATGGGCTGGAAAAGGAGACCAGGCTGCCCCGGCTGTCACCTGTGGCCTTCCTCCCTGCAGCTCCTGAACTGCATCATGGACATGGTGGAGAAGACACGCCGGTCCCTCACCGTTCTGCGCCGCTGCCAGGAGGCTGACCGTGAGGAGCTCAACCACTGGATCCGCCGCTACAGCGATGCTGAAGACATGAAGAAGGGGCCGAGCCCCGCCAGCCGCCCCCTCAGCAGCACTGCCAACCTGGAGGCGCCACTGCTAGGTACCCCAGCAAGGGAGGAGGCGGGCTCAGTGCCCCCCTCCCCATGGAGGCCCTTGACTCCAGGCACAGAGTGGCCTTCCTCCTCCTCTGAACAGGCTCTTGTCTGGGGAGGGGGCTCCTTCCGCCTGCCATAGGCTCTCTGGAGTTGGGCCTTTCCAACAGCCCTCACTTCCAGGGCCTCTCAGAAGAACGGAGGGTGTGTGTGTGAGAGAATGGGGAGGCAGAGGACAACCAGGCTGCCATCCCACCTCCATCTGTCATGAGTGCACTAACAACTGGGAGCGAGTGGAGAGGAACCTTTCATGCGTTCTCCTAGCCTTAACATCTGCTGGGGCATCTGATGAAAACAAAGTCCACTTTGTGTTTGTGTCTGAACTGTGGTTTAAGGAGTAAGCCCCATCAGCTGGGTTTGCAGAACAAGCCAAGCCTTCCCCCACATTCTGCCAATCAGAGAGGCTGGGCTAAGCAACCTTAAAGCTGGCGAAAGCAAGCCATGGGATGGGCTTAATCAGCCTAGAAGGAATTCTTAAAGTCGTGGCCACAACTCCTGGATGCGTTCCACCAACTGAGATGACTTTCAAGGGGGTTGCAGAAACTCATGGGGTCACACCTTGGGCAAGGGTCTTTGTGCGGCTGTTAGGAGGGATCCCCTCTTGGTATCACTCTGCTGCCCTCCGGGGCGCCCCGGTCTTCCTCCCTGGCATCCACTTGGCTTCTGGGCACTGCAGCCTCTGAGCTCAACAGAGCTGGACCCTGATCCTCATGTGGTGTTTTGCCCCCCCACCCCTTTGCAGGTGCCTCTGGGTGCCCACCCTGCTCTTGGCTTCCCCAGAGGCAGCCACAATCCGGCCCCCAACTCTCCAGGGTCCAGTCAGGGATGCCGATAACACAAGCTTGACCACGCTTGAGTTTTTCAAAGCAATAAAAAAACAAGTCAGTTCATTCAACGCTTCTTAACAGATTTTTCTCATTCTGCTATTTCCCCAGATGCTCATCGTGAATTTGTATCCAGGCCCCTGTCTGGCTACATGCCGGAAGAAATCTGGAGAAAAGCTGGTGAGTTTTGGGGGAAGTGAGGAAACGCTTCTCACAGAAAATTGGCTCTTGCGTCACCAAGCAAAAGCCAAAAAAATATCCATGGGACAAGCAATTGCTGGAACCCCCCTGGCTCCTGCACCCACTGTGAAATAGCCGATTGTGTTCTGGTGGGCTCCCCCCCGCCCCCCACCGCCAGAAAATGGTGCAGGGGAATCAGTGGCCAGCCTTGCTTTCCCACCACTAAAAGTGGGGTGAAGTGGGGTTTGGTCCCTTTGGATGCAGTGCAATCTCTGCTTAAGCCTGATGGAGAATGGCTGGCTGCCTCAAGACGGGAGGAGGGATTAAAGTTGCCTCTTTCCTGTGACGGATTCTGCCACTGAATTTGCACAGCTCCCTTCACCATGCTAGCTAGTGGCTCCTTTCATACAACAAATGTACTAGTTGAGCACTAGCCTCAATTAGCTTTTTCTTGTAGGCCAGCATCTTGGGCAAATCGAGGCTACAATACTGTGGGTTGGGTGAAGCCTGAGAATGGCTTAGTTAGTCATCTGGTGGGGGCTGTTGTGTGAATGCCACTCGGGTGGCTTTGCTTGTCACGGTCTCCCTGGGGAGGGTCTGTAAGAGTGAATTACAAAGGGGTGAAGCTGCTTAGGGTAGAAACAAGTGGGATCCGTTTTTTGACAGTGTGGTGCTTATTTTAGAGTTTAAACTACAGTTCTTATACTTCTCGCCTGAAAGTGGCTGCCAGTTTTAGCAATCCTGGTCAGTGTGGCCTGAAAGGGCCACAGAAGGGGATCCTGGGTGGTGCAGGTGGCCCTAGGGCCACAGATTGACATTCCTTTTTCTGGAAGACCTCAGACCTCCTTCAGAGCAGCAGCATGTTGCTTTCTTTGGTGTTACCTGCCCTGACTGAGGCCCCTCTATGATTTCTGCCCCGCGCTCTGCCTTTCAGAAGAAGCCGTGAACGAGGTGAAGCGTCAGGCCATGTCGGAGCTGCAGAAGGCCGTCTCAGACGCGGAGAGGAAGGCGCACGAGCTGATCACTACGGAGCGGGCCAAGATGGAGCGGGCCCTGGCCGAAGCCAAGCGCCAAGCCTCCGAGGATGCTTTGACCGTCATTAACCAACAGGAGGACTCCAGTGAGGTAGTGACTCTCTCTAGTCCTGACCTGGAGCCGGGTGCCAGAGTAGCGGGCTGCAAGCAGCCATGACTCGGAGCCAGGCGTGTGTTGGTCTCGTGGCTCCCCCCCTGTGGTTTGGCCTTGTCCTAAACTGTAGGAGTTGAGCACAGTCTGGAGCGCAGCCACAGCCCTTTGTGAATCCGCCACGGGAAAGACGGACCATGTGTCTGGTGCCTGGTGAAGAGTAGAGCGCCTCTTGTCCCCCACGCTTGTCTTTCGCTCTGCGCTGATCTCTGTGCTTTCGCCTTCTCCTGCAGAGCTGCTGGAACTGCGGGCGCAAGGCTAGCGAGACCTGCAGCGGATGCAACACTGCACGCTACTGCGGCTCCTTCTGCCAGCACAAAGATTGGGAGAAGCATCACCACGTCTGTGGACAGACCCTCCAGAGCCTCCAATCTTCTGTCGGGGCGGGCTCTTCCGGCCCGGTTGGGCTTCCCGGGGCTCCCGCCCAGTCAGACGGGGCGGCCGTGACCAGTTCCATCCCTGGTGTGGCCCTGGGAGGGAGCTCAAGCAATCCAGGCTCTGCCACCGTCTCGCGTTCTGGCACACCGGCAACCCCAGCCCCATTGGACACCACGTCCCGCTAGGCGAGAGACACAAGGGAACCATCACTGCTGCTGCTGCTACCACTGCTCTCCAAATGGGGGAAAAACCCCCAGAAAACTGCATTCAATGCAAATCCTCAGCTACCTGACACGTGTTTGACCTCCAGAGCAACCTCTAACTCTACGACAGAATCCTCACAAATCCTCAGACCTGGCTTTAAATGGAGTTAAGGCAAGCGCCGAGCCTCGTCCGTTCTTCGAAGACAGTGATGATGATGGGAGACTCAACTTCCGACCCATAGGATGTGGGGGAATTGAAGTGGTTGTTGTTGTTTTTCTTTTCTTTTTCTTCTTCTCCTCTTCCTCCTCCTCCTCGGATGAGGCATCGGCAGGTATCCCCACCTCTTGACTTGGGGACAAGGAAGGGAAACGGGACGAGACTCCCTCCGCCTCCTGCCGGAGGTGCGTTCCTGGAAATAAAACAAATGAAAGCCCCTTCTTCTGAAAGAGAAAAGGGGCAGAAGAAGGCAGGGAAAATGGATTTCAGTTACAAAAAGCAACCCTTTTTTTTCCTTTTTGTAAAAAAATAAAAATAGACAATAAAAACATCAAACTCTTTGGCTTTAAGTAAAACAGAAAGAAAAAAAATCCAAAAAGTACCCACAAAACCAAGTAAAGGAAGCTTACCTGTAAACTACCTTGCTAGTTAGCCAAGAAATACCATTTTCACCTCTGCTCCAAAGGAAATCCAAAAACAGAAAAAAAAAGAATCCAAACTTTTTTCCACTGCCAAAGTTTCTTTCTTCCTCCCCCCCCCTCACTTTTCTTCCTGCGATTGACTTCTTCCTCTTCTTCCTCAGTACGGAGGCTTTATTTATTAGGTTTTTGTGAACAGAGGAGTCCCGCATCTTTCTGCAACTTTCTACCCACCGCTTGGCAGAGGCTGCGGCTGCCGCGGCTGGTGGCATTTCTACTCCTTTGTGCTCCTGGAGGGGGGAGGGGAAGGGGGGACCTCACTGCACGCGGACCTTGGCCTACTCCCCCGTCACCCTGGAGGAGGACAGGCGTGCAACCGTGGGATTCGGAGAAATTTTCGTAGAATAAAGCAAAAAACAAAACCAAGTATTCACCGCTTTTGTGAGTGGGAGGAGGTGTGTTTGTGTGCGTATGTGTGACAGAGAGAGGAGAGAGAGTGTGTGAGGCGGAAATGATGCTATAAACTCCCTCGCTTGGTGGATTATAAAAACCCCTTGTGCCAGAGAGACGTGTGTGATTCACCCCTGCCTGCCTGCCTGCCTGCCTGCCTGCCTGCCTGCCCTTGGCTAGTTTGGTTCCTGGGCAAGAAAGTCTCTGCCTCTCACCCAGATCTTTTCACCTCTATCATCCCGCCCCCCCCGCCCCCCCAATCTCTGCTCTCCGTAATCCACCCATCTTCCCAGGCAGGTTTTTTTGCAGTTTCCTTCTTCTGCCCAAAGAACAGAGAGGCATCTTATTTTTTCTTCTCTTCTTCTGAAGTCCCGGTGCCAGGTTGGCCAAGAGTCCCCCTGACCTCAGTATTGGCTCTTCTCCCTAATCTCTCACTGGGTCTCCCAGATGGGCAGGGGGTCCCTTCCCCTCCCTCCTTCCCTCAGCCCAGCCTTTGGTCTTCCGTTGCCATTCTGGGTTTTTCTGGAGGTAACCAACAGATGTTTGCCTGGGGAGGAAGGCGGAGGGGAGGAGGAAACTGTGGTATCCAATGGTCACATTCTTTGCAACACTGTACAAAGTACTGAGGACGGGAGTGCAATATGGGGGGAGGGGGGAACGGCATGGTTGCAGGGCGGGGGGGACCCCTTACAGATGGCCCAGCCAGGGGTTCAGGGCAGAAATGTTGTACTTTTAATGTGAATGTAAATAGTCTTTGCAAAAAATTCCAAAAATATTGCTAATAACCGGAATGGTGATGATGGTGAGGAGAAGAGACATTTGGCCAAATAATGGAAACAGACAACCACTAAAGGATGTAGCAGGTGGGGAAATGGGGTTTTCCCAGAAAGAGCCATTGCTGTGCTCAGGAGAACTCTTTTTTTATCCCCCTTAAACAGCCTCGTCCAACTTCCTCCCCTTCCAGTTGCTTGGCCTGCAGAGGTCATCCAAATGGGATGGTGCTACCATTACTCCAGCCACTGCCCATGGAGCTGGTGCCCCTCCATGGTACTTCTTGCCTTCATCTTATGTCCCTCCCCCTCATTTCTGACTGGCCCCTCACATCAACCCCGGGTCCACTCCAGCCTGGGAAAGAGTCAGGCAGGGAAAGAGACCGAGGTCTCCGGAACATCGCAGGGTTTTCTCTGTCACATCCCCAGTTCAGAGCGTTCTTTCCCGGTCATTCTGTTCTCTCCAAATTCAAGCATCTCCACACCTCTTCTTCTTCCTCTCTGGCCACATATGGAGGCATTTCCTTCACCAGAACAAACGGTTATCCTTGCAAGGGGCTCATCTCTCTCAGTTAGATGGAGTTGCATAATGTGGATTATGGGTTCGCTTTGAACTGCTGTGGCTTGCACTTCTGAAGCCCTGGAGTCCTGATCCTGTGCTGGTTGAGATCTTGATGTTCAAAGAGGCGATGGGTAAAGGGGGGAGGGGATTATGGCCATCCTGGGCTGGCTGATCAGTCTCTTGCTTGGCATGCCAGCAGTTTTTTTTCTGGGCAGTGGCTGTGTTGTTGTCTCCCATTCTCTTTCTGACTCACTGGGAACCCAAAGGCAGGCAGGAATCCTTGGGAATTTACAGTATACCAAGAGATGAATAAGTTTTTGTGCAAATCAAAAGCAAATGGGGAAGAGAAGGGAATGTCTCTGCCAGAGTTTCAAATAAGTCTCCCAATTCTTAGAGCTATGGCAAAATGTTATCACCTAGATTTCACTCGACACGATGGCCTGAATTGGCGGCCCATGTAGCGGTGGCAGTTGAATTAAGTGTCAATGAGTTCGGAGGGATCTAATCTGAGCCAGGGTGTTTTGGGCTGCAGCCTAGGAATGCCTTTAAGCCCATCTGCAAACTCTTATTTGTGAACGAAGCCGGTTGCAAAGTTAAAAGCAGAGCGACCTTTTTACAAGGAAAAGACTACTTTGCAAATGTGGGAAATTGTACATCCTTTTGGGCTGGCTCAGATCAACTTCATGCAGCTATTTCCAAGTTGACTTTTCCCAGGGATTTTGACAGGCTGTTGAATCCATCTGTGAGCTGCGCTCTGCGTCGTTCCTGAGAATCTCTGAAAAATGAGCCAAACCAGGGAATCCTTTGCTCGTATTGCAACGTTGATTTGGGTTATTTGTGAGGATCCACGGGAGGCAGTTGGTACTGAATGTGCCACGTCAAAAAAACCAATTTGATGCAAATATAGGTTGCTCTTGTCTTCTTGAGCGATAATTTCATGGGTCTCCTGTAGATCAAAGGATGCATTGCTTCTTTAGCTGGTTGACGATTCTTGCTCCGTCCTTCTTTGCTTCCCTCTTTCTGCAGCAGGGAATGCTTCCACATAATGGAAGTTCCCAACTCTTGAGACGGAGATCGCCTCTTTCCATGCTTATTCAGTTTACGATGCCCTTGAATTCCCTTCTTTGCAGCTCTCCGTCTCTTCATCCTTCTCTGCTAGGAAGATTTATCTTTTCTCCTGGGAAGAGGCTGGGCTGACTTCAGAAGATGGGCCTTCTCCCTGCGGGCCGCTAGTGGTGTGATCCAACAGGGCCACTGTTATTTGTGGGCTTAATTTGCAGGTCGGTACAATGGCAGGAAGGAGCAGTTGGGTAAGGCAGGCATACTTCTCCCCTGTTGATCCTGAGTGACAGGCTCCCTTTGCCTGCAGAGCAAATAGGAAGGAAAGGATCTGCTTGTGGGTCTTCAGGGCCAAGGGGACCATGTGGATGCCACCAGCGTGATGGCTTCCTTGTGTGTGAGAACATGATGTGGGAAGAGTATGCTGGTTTGTCCTGAAGGAAGGAGCTTTTCCAGAGGTCTGTGGGAGCGGACTAAGGTCACATCCCCATTTTTTTGAAAACAGATGCTCTTCCCATGTGATGCCTCTGCAGATGGCCAGCACGGCTGTGTCATTGTGACCAGATGGGTCCTTCTGTCTCTCAGGATAGAACCTTTGCTCAGAGAGTGGAACACAAGGAAAAGAGGAAAGAAGCACAGAGCAGCTGGTGGAAAAATAATCCCAGCACCAACCTAGCTTTAAAGACTTTGCTAAACCTCATCAGCTGGAAACCAATCCATCACCCATCCTCACGTAGTCTTCCGCCCCCCCCCCCCAGCCCAGAGCTCTGGTTCAGGATCAGGGGTGGAGAACATGATTCCAATCCTTCTCTGTGGCTCTCACTCATTTCCTCATAGTTCTTGTGGATGGGGAGCTCAGCCTAGCAATTCTGGAGAATCAAAGTGCTCCTTCATTTGAGTTTCAAGCTGGCTAGCCTCTCACAGCCGGCTCTCTTCCTGGCAGGAACGCACGCTGGATTCGGGTCAGAGGTGGCACATTCCTGGGTCTTGTCCCAGGCCTCGAGCGTCTCTGCCAAAAGACTCAGAAGCTGCCAGTTATAGGGCAGAAACGAGCCCCCATCCTCCCCAGGGTGGAGGAGAAGCACTGTTCTCAGGGTGCCCAGCAAGCAAATCGCGCATAGAACTGTGCAATACTTGAATCAGAGGGTTTGGGGACGAGGAGGGCCATTGCTTGTACCGAGCAAGATGGGAGCATGTGTGAATGCTTGTAAAGATGTGTCAAAAGAGGAAAATCATAGAAATCTAAGCAAATTCAATGAAAAGCAAAAGAGAACCCAGGTCCCCTCTTCCTCCCCCCACCCCCACCCCGGTGTTTATGGGTTTCCGTGGCCATTCCAGAGAAATGACTAAGTGGTAGAAGGGTTGAGTTTGGGGAGCCCTTCTCTTGGCATGCTCTCCTTCCCCCCTTTCCCTTGTGGTTTCCTGCTTTCTCTAAATGTACTGTATGTTTGACCTGTGGAAGATGTAAACTTTATGATTCAGGTTATGTCTGTTCTTAACTCTGTATCTGTGTAATAAAGATGGTTTAATATCACGCAACTGTCTCCATTTCTCCTGTGTCCACAAAAGCCCATTTGCACACTGCAGCAGAACAAATGAAAGAACGGCCTTGCGGTCCAGTTAGATTCCCAGGTTGAGAAAGCTCCCAACAGGCTTTAAATAGCCAGCATAGGAGTGGGGAAGGCTTCTTTTGCCCAGCACACTAAGCTAAACTCAAACTAGCCATCTTAGGGCTTAGCCGTACAAGTCCAGCCACTGAAGCCCAGCAGGAGATAGGGAACCCTGGATGTGCGAGATCAAGTGTTTGGCTGGATCTGGCTTAATGAGAGGCAGGATCGCCCCAACTACGCCCCATTCGACCAACCTTTCATAGATCTTTGACCAGGTGTGGACCCAGCCTTTAAGCCAGACTTCTGCTCCCTTAATTCAGGAGTGACTTCACTGACCCACAGCAGCTCTCCCGACTTCTAAGGGGCACCTGTCCTTCAACTCAGTTTGCACAGACTCCCACGGACAGACTTCTCAGCCTGGATGCTCCTCAAAGGAAAGATGGGGTATAAATCAGTGAATTGACATGAATAACAGCCCTCAGGTTCAGGTTAAAATGGAGGGTGTTTGTTTGCTCTTCCTCCCCTGCTAGCCTAGCCCCCCCCCCCCCGATGAAATGCTGCATCTGATTGGCTGTTAAAGAGATCAAATGGAGTTCCAGAGGTTCTGCCTCAGCTGTTGCTTCCTCCAAATTTGCCTGGCCTCGATAGGTGGGGGAACCGGTGTGAGTAATCATGTTTGGACTTGGGGCAAGGTAAGATATGACTGCAGGCTTGGCCTCCTCCTTTGCAGGAACATCACTTCTCCTCTCCAAGGGCTTCATTTTTGTAGTTAAGAGGGTGCTTCATGGTAGAATCCCAGAAGTTTGGATGTTGGCTCACTCTGAAAACATAGTGGCTTGCTGCTTTTGGTAACTGTTGGGGCCTAAAGTAAGGTTTAGGGGTTACAAGCCATGGCTTAGTATAATCATGAATTCAGCCAATGTCTACCAACTTAGAATGTCGTGAAAGAGTAACAATAATGGATTGCGCAGTGAACGACTTTTGCTCTTGGAGACAGACAGACAGAACTGCCTAGGAGGGGTCATGCTTGAATATTTTGCACCGATGTGTGTTTGTGTGTAAAGCTTAGATAACAAAATGTTTTGTGTTTGCTTTTGCAATGAAGCTCTATATTTGCCTGAGCAAGTCTTGCTCATCTCCACGGGATGGCTCCAGGAATGCATCATTTGAAGGCTCCACAGCCAACCTTCCTAGAGAGCATGAAGCGGGGCCCTCGTCCTTAGGCTTCCAAAGCCTCATCTGAACTAGCAACACAGCCATTGTTGTCATGCATTGAAAAAGAAATAGTCCTTAAGCCCAGCTTTTCTCCTTGGCCCGCTCACATTATAAGCTGGGTCTTACTCCATTCCCCAGCAATTTGCAGGCAGGGAGCCATGAAGATATTTTTGGAGGCAAGGTTAGGAGTGGTCACAGGGAAGGGAAAGCGTCTCCCACGGGCTCTTGGCTCGTCTGCAAGGCCAGCTTGAAAGGCCGTTCCAATTTAGCCCCTGCATAGTAGTTGCTGTTGTGATCTTGTGGATTCCACACACTTTGTGAACTGTGGCATCTGATAAAGCCTTCTCCGTAATCACATTTTATTAAGTTATAAAGTATTGTAAAATACAAAATACAAAAGGAAATAAGAGGACGATGAGGGGGAAGGGGGAAGAAAAGTGAGGAAAGATAGGGAAAGAAAAAGAAGCATTGACGTCCGACTCTCTCTGTTACAGTAGAAGAAGGCTTGATGTGGAAAAGAATGAAAGTTTGATTTTACAGATTAAATTGATAGATCTTTAGAGAAATGACTTGTTCATATTGTTATGGAAAAACAAAAAGCTATGATCGGTTGCATCTGATAAAGCCTCCTCAACAAACACACATATTTGGAAGGCTTCTCCTTCATAGGAACTAGACCTTGTCTGAGAAGGGGCATTCAGCTCTTGGTTACTGATGCCAGATCCTAAAGTGGGCATGAGAAGAGGGGGACCTAGAGAAGGTGGGGAACTGAGGGAAGAAGCCAAAGAAAGATGTCTGGGTGGGGAGAGGGAGAACACAGCTACTCTGAAAAGGCTAGGGAAAGAGAAGAAATCCACCATGACACCTCCTAGGCAGGCAAAGTACCTAACCTTGGTGATGTGACTTTCCCCAAGCCATCCCTTCCTTGATTCTGGATCCTGGTGGTGTGATCCTCCTGCTTCCGACACCGACCATTCTCCCTGGGATGCAGCTGAAATTTCTGCTTGGCAGAAAAACATGGAAGAAGATTCAGCCTTGATTCCTGTGGAAGGGGCCAACAAAGAAGTTCAGCAGGCAGAAGACCCCGTGAGTCTTACCCTGAGACTTGGGTCCGCTTGGAGGGAGCCTCTTGTATGGAAAGGTCTCCTCGAGGCTTAGGCCTCCACTGCCTACATTGGGGGTGGGGTGGGGGCAGGTCTACACAGCTTGCCAGGATGAAAATGTTGGAATTTGGAAAGACCAGCACCATTGGAGGGCTGGGAAGGGCCGTTTCCAGGGAAGAGGGCTGCTTCTCATGTTCCACCTCTGCTTTGGCTTCCCCTTGGGGTGAAGGAGCTGGAGGCCATCAAAGCCAAAGTCCGGGCAATGGAGAAGGATGATGAATGGTTGCAGGAGCTGCAGAACGAAGCCAAGTCCCTCCTTGTGAGTTCAGACCCAGGTACGGCTCCTGTCAAGCAGGGCTGCCCAACAGGGGTTGCCCCTGGGCCCTTCCTCAAGTGGGGCTTGCTGCTCTGATCAGAGGTTTCAGGAAAGAAAACGATCAGAAATAACAGCATGGGGATTGCAACTCCTCAAATTGCCAGGCACCATATTCAAAAGCTGGCAAAGGAGGGCATTAGGCTGAAAAGGCTGGCAAAGACCACCCCTTCCCTAACTACTAGAGTTGTCTTTCTTGTGCAGATCTTCTGTTACCTAGAATAAACGAGAAGAAAGTGGAGGCTGACCAGCGCTCAATCTATGTGGGAAATGTAAGAAAGAAAGAGGGGTTAAATCGTACCTATGTGTCAGAATCTGTAATGAATAGTGGGCTTCTGTCTGAGAGGTGCTCCATTTCCTTCTGACTTTCTCCCAGTTATTTATTTATTTAGAGTCCAGTGGCGTCGTTACATTAGCCAGGAGGCTACAATGCTAATGCAGAGTAGTAAGTGGGCTGCCTGTTTACCAGCTTTGTTAAGCACACTCTTCTGGTACTCTGGCTTCTCTTCAGATCCTATAAATCTTTTGGCTTTTACTTTCTCCCCGTGATAGGAAGCAGATCTTAGATCCTGCATTTGTGAGAATTTACTCCCAGATCAGTGGTGGGTTGCTACTGGTTCTCTCCAGATCGGGCAAACCGGTAGCAGCGGTGGTGGGATGCTCCGCCCACCCGGCTGGACGCTTCTGCGCCTGCGCAGAAGCATTGTGCGCATGCATGAGTGTGCAGACACCCACGAGCAAACCGGTAGCGACAGTTTTTGAAACCCACCCCTGCCCCAGATGCCTTGGGTCTATAAATCATTTCACAAAGTGGAGTCCTGGATGCTGAGAAGACTACGGGGCTCTCAATCAATGGACACCAGAGTTCATGAGTATGATCTTCACAGGTAGATTATGGAGGAACTGCGGAAGAACTGGAGTCCTATTTCAACAGCTGTGGACAGATCAACCGAGTGACTATCCTTTGTGACAAGTTCTCAGGCCATCCGAAAGGGCAAGTGACTGACTGTTATGGGAAAAGGGTGGGGGGAGAGTTGGTTAGGAAGGAATGGGCTGTCTACCCAGGTTGGTCCAGGGCCTTTGTTCCCTAGGGCAGGTGGGCTATCATCTATCTTATCTATCAAATTTATTTGCCACTCATCTCATATCCAACGACTCCGGGCAGCTTACGACATAAAATAAGGGTTCTATTTATTTACTTTTATTTAACATCCTCTCTTCTTGCAGGTATGCCTACATAGAATTCGCTGACCAAAGCGCTCTCAAAGCAGCCATGGAACTGGATGAAGGCACATTCAGAGGCCGCATCATCAAGGTAAGCCCCGTGGGGTGGGGGGGGCTGTCCTGGTGCAGGATCCTACCATTAGCAGGAGTTGTTGCTGGATAGAGGATATCTCTGATCCCTAATTCCTGCTTGACAATTCCCTGGAGACCTCAGTTGCTGTCTCCCAAAAGCTGAATGCCGTCCGAGTTGAACTTCTGTCATCATCATAGTTTCTCTTCCCCTGAGTTGCTCATTAGAACACATTTAGTGCCCTTCCTGGAACTTTTGGAAGCCCTGTGGGCGGATAAATTCAAGGCTGGTAACTCAGTTGGCTGGCTTCAGCAGATGCCTTAACCATAAGCGCTGTAACACTAACCCCCATAAGCTCAGTTTGACAAGATACAGTGGCAGGATTCAGACTGTATGCTCTGTGCAGAGAAACTGTGTTATGTCTGAAAGGGATGGGTTGGTTTCCACAACATGATGCAGCTGCACCACCTGCCACCCAACCTTCTTTGGTACGTAATGCTGGCACGTAATGCTGATATGCTGATATGCTGACCAACTTTAATTTCCCTTCCAATGAGTTGGGTGCGACTGTTTTTCATTGCCTGTCTTCTTATTTCCACATTTTCACACTTGTTTCCTTGGATCCATGTTGTTTTGGCATCAGGTGCTGCCCAAAAGAACCAACTTTCCAGGGATCAGCTCCACAGACCGCGGTGGTTCCAGGGGTCGCTTCCGAGGACGGGGAGCCCTACCTCGTCATGCCAGCTTCTGTGGAGGGCAACGTTCCAGGCCCCGTGGCAGAGTAGTCAGGTGAGTGGGCAACATGGCACCCCTTCTGGGAAACTATCCTTCTGGAGGGGGATGAGGCTGAATCCTGACTCCATTAACTCTGTGTTTGAAGGAAAGCCAAAGTTCTCATCTGGCTGCAAATTACAGCATAGCTCTGGTTTTAAATTGCTGGTTTTCTTCTGTTCCTCTAGTTTGTTTTTCTCTACCTTGTTAGTTTTACAGTTGCCATCTCAGTCTTGCAGAAGTCCATACTGTATTTCTGCTTTTGTCAATACGGGCTAGTAGTTAAGCCACCCCAGATCCTCAGGGAGGATTGGAGTGCCACTTCCCTGGGTGGTTAGCTCTACAAGCAAGCAGACGGTGGAGGGCTTCTCCTGAATTATCATTCTGTACTGGGATGAAGATGCAGGTGGACTAAAGGGGAGATGATGAAACTGATAACCGGAGCTTTGTGCACCCACTTCTTCTTCAGGGGCCGTGGGAGGATACCTGCCTGGTACACGCCTTACTAGCTGGTAAAGGAGACAACTCGAGTGACACACCAGGAGGAATTCAGAAGGGAAGAGAGGAGGAAGACTATCTGTATTTGTTCTTACTTGTCAGCCATTTGTGAGGAGCCCCTGTCCTGTTGGTCCAGAGAGCAGCCACCCTTCTTCTCCCTGGTAAATCAAAGCAGTGGGTGGCAAAGAAGCCAAGAGTGGGCACCCAAATCTTGCTGGCCTGGCTTGGGTGTATGTGTGTGTGTGCATCGTTTTCTCTTGGAAGGGCCTGGATTCATTTTCATTCTTCAGCAACTACGTGCCATTATATTGGGGGACGGGGGGGGGAGCGGAGGCTGCCATTCTCTTTTGCCTGGATGCTTAAAGCCCTTAATTTGGGCCATTATGGAAAGGTCAGCAAGGGGGGGGCACTCAACAAAACCTAGTTAACCAACAGAATCCTGTTGCAGAATCCAACCCCCATTGCCTCCACCTCCCAAACCCTCTTCTTAAAATCACTAAAAATCGGGTGGGTTTGCGGGAGAGGGGATGCAAACCCATCCAGTTCTCCTTTTGAAAATATGGGGTCTCTCTGCATCCCATTAGGCAGTCATACAAGCAGCCTGTTATGATTTGTGAGTGTGTGTGTGTGTGTGTGTACAAAGGACTGGCAATAGGGGTGTGGAACAGCACATCTGCCCTGCCGCCTTTTTGCAATCATCCTGAGGGTCTTCACACACATTTTTGAATGCCCCTCCCTTGCGCGGCTGTGAAGGGGCTGTGAAGATTTGCTACAAAAAGGGGTTTTCTGCAAAAGGCAGGCCAGCTGGGAAGACAGCAGTGAGTCTTGGGGTTCCAGGGATTGATTGCCAGTCACTGTATTCCGATACGCCCTGCTCCTCATTTTAAACTAATTTAAATTAATTTAAGAAGTTTCTTCAAAATAAGTATAAAGGAATTTTTAGTATAGGGCTCACCTGCTGCAATCTTGTTTTGCACACCTTTTACCCCAGCACAACCTGGTACATCAATTACTGCTGCCAATGCAGCTTTCGGTGCCCAACAAAACCTTTTATCTTTAATCCGTTGTGGAATTTATAAGAAAGGTCAGTATAGCAACTTGTGAATTTTGTCAAAATAGACTAGTCAAGTTCACGTTTTATTGAAATGATCTTTCCCCCTAGTCTTCTTGCAGCAGACAAAAAAAAAAAGAAAGGAATTTGTCCTCGGATCTGTAAATTGCGCCTCAAAAATTTTCTCTTTGAGCACTGGAGACATCGGAAGAGAGTTTTACCATGTAAAAAAAAATTCATTTTTGCAAGTGGAAAGAAGGGACTGATCTGCTGAAAGCATTTAAGGAAGGGCGGGGGTGGGGTGGGGGGAAAGATCTCCTGGTTAGACCTTGTGAAGCTGATCTGGAAGTGCCAGGGCGGACAAGGCTGGGCATCTTACACAGGGCAATTTCCTGGGGATTGGGCCCTACATGAATAATAAACTGGCAGAGGTTGAAATAAGCAGAATGAAAAAGGAGGGTTATATTAAAATGAATGTATCTATGAACAGATATGTAGTTTATGATAAAGTTCCATGTTGTAAGACGTTTATGTTTTTTTACAAAATAAATGCTCCTGCTAGTGAAAATTACGCTTTACAACCACAGTGGCTGCCTGCAGACGTCTCTCTGGCATCTTCAGCGCTGAGCTGGACAAACATCAGTCTTTGTATATTCACTCCTCAGTGTAAGTTGGGGATGGCATTTGCCATGTGGCTGTATTGTTATTATTAAAGACAAGACTTAGCAAAAAGCAAGCTGGCGGGAAAATTAGCTTAGCTTTCTGACATCCTAACTTACCATGTGAAAAGGCATTGGAAAGTATTTTAAGGAGGAATTTCCTGACAGAACAATTGAGTGAAACAACTTGCCTCCAGAAGTTGTGGCAGCTCCAACACTGGAGCTTTATAAGAAGCAATTGGACATTAGTCTGAAATAGTGTAAGGTTTCCTGCCTGAGCAAGGGGTTGGACTAGAAGACCTCCAAGGTCCCTTCCAACTCTGTTATTCTGATATAAATGCATTCAGAGGCCACAGTCATTAAAGGGAAAGCATACAGTATCCCATTCTGGCCCTCAAATAGAGAAAGGAAGACTATCTCCTTGTTTCTTGCAGCAAAATGTCTTAGCTGGCCTTGGAATAGAACCTCAGCCAGGCTGTTCAACCCAAATAGGTTTTACTATAAACTTACTCCAAAGTCTTATGATGGGAATTTCTCAATCCAAGCCCCTCCCCTCTTCTAGGACAGCCATTTATATGGAATGGTACAGGTTCTCCTGGCTTGAGCAGGGGGTTGGACTAGACGTCCTCCAAGGTCCCTTCTATTATTCTGGGAATTATGCCCCTTGAGTAGCTCTGCAAACACTTCAGACAGACTGAGCAAAGGAGTTTATTGTAAGGATATAGCAGCAAAGGACAGAAGAACATGAAATAACTCAGTGCAGGGTAGGTCTTCTCAGTCTAAGGAGCTGGCAGAAGAGGCAGGACCTTCAGCAAACCTGAACCATCATGGACATCACCATGTTATCAAAGGCCCTTGAAATGCAGAGAGAGGAAGCTTTTAAAGCAGGAACCAGATCACCCCGCCCAGCCCAACCTGATAGATGAGCTAATTTAGGAGCACAAGAAGGGCAGTTCTCCCCTTGTGCAGCTCCCTGTGCCCCCTGCTAGTGATTGTTCTGCTTCGCCAACACCAGCCATCCCACTAGCCCACCTGCTGAACCCAGCAGCTTCCTTTCCCTCCCCAGCTGACGTCTTTCCTTGGCTTTTTCCATATTCTTCTGCCCAGAACCCTTTTGGTCCATACGCAAAGCCAAACAGCCCCAGTTGGTACAGCCCCAGAACACCCGAAACACGTCTGTGCTTGGCAGCAGACTAAGCAAAACCAGTAGCTCTGTATGCAAAATGTTTCCCTAATAAATACCCCTGTTCTGCCCCATTGAGTCTCTGCAATTTAGCAAACAGATAGCAAGCATGGAACTGTATCACCTGCACTATGCCCTAAGTTCTAGGATACAAACCAGGCATCACGGGCCACGTTCAGGCATCGTGGTAATCTACTAAGCCCAAAGTAAGCAGTTTAGGGCTAGTAAAACGTATGAATCCCTGGGTTTGTGAAAGGCAGTTATTGCCTCCTCCCCTGCTCCCCCTACTGTCAGCATTTGAGTTCTCTTGCAGGCACCTAGGACCCTCTGGCTGTCTTAGGGACGTCTATCCAGGCTTCTGGCTGTGGGATTCTAGGAGTTGAAGTCCACACTCTTTCAAGTTGTTGAGGTTGAGAAACTCACCTAGATTGGATTTGGTCTCCAGGATTGTAAAAGGGGTTGCACATGACATCTGTATACGAATTATGCAATTTCCTGAACATCTGCAAAGAAACCACTTCCGCTATATTCAACCACAAAAGGGCTCATATGTCCCCAGAGAGGATTCTGGGAGATGCCCCAGACTTACACTACGGATTTCATTGTCTCGGAGGGCCGTGTTGGATGAATCCACCACCATCACAAACTTGACTTTGGAATTGGTCACGTAGCCATAGCTGCTTGGCTGGTTAAGGGACACAGACTTTTGGAGACGGGAGGCTGACCTGCGTCTCTCCTTCATTTATCCAGAGGTGCCCGAGATCAGATTGAGGGTTGATCTGCCACTCAGCTACACATCGGCAGGCCTGACTGCAAGAATCGGATTACTAGACAGACCAGAGAAGACGTAGAAGACCCTCATGCTGGGCTTTTGCAGCCCAGTTCTGACAACCTGAGCCTCCCCATCTCCTTTGTTGAGATCGTCAGCCGGTCTCTCCAGCCTAACTAGATGGAGGATTCAGTACCAGAGGCGGCTCCTGTTTGCACAACCGATCTTAAGCATGGTCTTAACTTAAAGCCTGCTTTTCACATCTGGCAATCGATGGGTGGACTTCAGCTCCCAGAATTCCCCAGCCAGGAGGAGCAGCTCTGGGAGCAGAAGCCCACGGGTCTGAAAAACACTTCCAGGCTCTCTCTCTCTCTGCCGGCGGATCAGCCCCCCAGCCCCCAGGGGCAAGGATACACCTTGTAGTCCTCGGTGGGGTAGAGGAGGCCGAGGTAGAGCTCCCGCTGGTCCACCAGCGCCTTCCCCAGCGCCGAGACCTTCTCGTCCACCACGTCCAGCGAGGTGTGCACCGTGTAGTGGAACTTCAGCTCGTTCTCGGTGGGGATGCTCTTGATGTAGAGCGGGTAGTTCTGGCGGGGGAGAGGGGGGGTCAGAGGGCCCGGAGGGAGGGAGGGAGCCCCTCGGGTGGACCCCTTCTCCTCCTCCTCCCCCGCCCCCGCCCCCCCCGCCCCCCCCTCCTTGGCGATCACCGCAATGCACACCGCCATCCTGGCTCCGGGCGGACGGCGAGCTTCCTCTGCCCTCACTTCTGTCCACGTGGCCGGCAACCCACCAACCGCATCGCGCTCCGCCTGCGGGCTTGGCGCGCGTGACCCGCTCGTCCCCGCCTTCCCCTACATCCGGCTCGCAGGGAAAGCAGCAGGAAGCGTTGACACTTCCGGCTTCTCTTCGAGGGCTCCGTGCGGGGCTTGGGGCAGGCCGAGGCTTTATTTACTCATTCCGCGGCCGCTCTAAAGCCCCGCCAGAGGCCCTGACGGAGGCCTACAAGGAGGCGGCGTGCCGAACGGAAGGGCCTTTCCCCGCAGCCCTGACGGGGCTCCTCCGCCTGGTTGGCTTTTGCCCTCACCTTCGACGGGGAGCCGGAAGTGGGGGTGACCCCGCTGCCTGGCCGCTCCCGTCCACTTTCTGCTCGGCTTTTTCGGTCCCTCGGCGGGGCGGCGAGCGTTGCCATGGAGACGCAGCTCCGGCGGCGGCTGATGCCGGCCCTTTGGGGCCTGGCCCTCGTGTGGCGCCTGGGGGCGGCCGCCAACCTCTCCGGGACCCCGCCGGCGCCCAACCTGGTCCTGCTGCTGATGGACGACGTGAGCGCAGGCGCCTCGCTCCGGGGAAGGGGCCTGGGGGCGGGGGCAGAGGGAAAGCCCCCCTCCGGTCCAGCTGGCCTCTGGGCAGCCCCGGATTTGTGGGTGGTTGGGCCCAAAGAAACGCCCAGGCGGGAAGGCTCTTATTTTATTATTACTGAGAGCCTCAGGAGAGTTATACCCGATTCCCCAGGGATCTCCTGGTGGTCTCCTTTTCAAAACCACCCAGTTCACTTTCAGAGATGGAAGTTCCCGCCCCCTTCGCAGAAGTCATCTTCCTGGACTTAAAATTTGCCAGCTCCAAGTCTCTGCATGGCAGGAACCACCCTTAGTCCAGCTTCTCAGCCCGTACAGCAAATGGGAAGTCCATTGGAAGTGCCTGAAAATCTCCCTGGTGTGTCTTCAGTCCCTGGGCTGATTGGCAGCTCATTTCGTAGGGAGGAGAAAAAAACCACACACACACACCTTTCCACTGTGAATGCGGCTCTTGGAAATTGTAAACAGCAGGCCCCGTCCACCTCTGGGTGGTGAATTATAGGGTCTTAATCAACTTGAATTTCACTGGGTGTCTGGGAGTCTTTTTGCCTTTTTTGTCTGATGTGCAGTCTTGAAATTCTTGCATTCCAAGTTTCTGGTGGTTTCCTGCCTCTTTCTGCCAGGAATAAGTTTAAGTTTTTGTTAGCTTTAGTTTGAAAACCGATCATAGTATCTCTATGGATACTACCAGATTTTTGAAGAAATATTGAGGGCTAGTATTTATTAAATTCCCATGCCACTCATCTCTTCCAAAGTGAATCTACTACTTATACTCTTACACTACTTTGGCAGACCAGGATCCCAAAAGCTGTTACTCTGTAATGTTATGGTTTTGATTATGGTTATGAGAATTGGGACTTTCTCCCATTGCACATTTCCTGCATTCTGAGTTGTATTTCAGTTCAGTTTTGATCAGGGTTTGAGGCTCACCTCTTCTCTCAGCACCTCACCTGAACTGTCTGAAGGAGGACTGGGCCCCCAACAAGTGAGGGTCACAGGCTTTCCCTAGACAGGCTGAAATCTGCTGTGATTGATGGCTGCCCCTCCGTTTCGGGACAAGGCCTAGCACTGTATACCTGCTGTAGAATTCAGCTCTGGGCTCTTGATCTGTTCCTGTGATTATGATTCATCAACCACTTTAAGGAAATTATTCCACTTTTCTGCTGACTGAACTATTAGCAAAGAATTTCCTAATGGGCTTCTTTATTTAGTAAGCTATTTTTATGCTGTTTTTGTTGCTGGAAATTGTTGGTGTATACATGAGCGTGTGTATTCCTTAGAAGAAAGTTCCTGTTGTTTTGCCTATTTTTCTGTACAACAAAGAAGTTCTCATTTTTTTCTCTTTTTATTATTTTTCAGTATGTGTGTGTCATTAAAAAAAAGTTGATGATGTCTGGCTAAGAGTGTGAGCTGCAGGTGCCAGCATAGAAAAGCCAGGCCTGGCACCATTTCCCTGGATTTTCCTTTAATTTCATAATGCTGAATGGAAAATTCACACAACGACCACAAAATGACTTATGCCAACATGGAGTACATAATTTCCTTGCAGAATTACTTGCCTTGAGTTGTTGTGAGGGTCACCAGTAAGTTAATAGCCTTTCACACTTTTACCTTAAAACCAAACCGTGCTCAAAAGCAGCCACTCTCCTATAAGAAAAAAATAGCAGGAATATTATCCTAGTTTGATAGGTTCTGGGCCCCTTGTTGACTGTGGATGGAGACCAAAGACTTGGGATATAAATATTCCCCAGAGGGATGTCAGTAGAGGTGCTATCACATTCTTAGTTTGGTTGTTTGGCTTCCTTATTGTCCCAGAGGAAACAGACAATATCCATGCTTGGTTGATAATCTGTGTGAGGCTCAGTTAATATGGAACTCAGCAAAGTTGAAAGCTTTCTCCCCTTTTCCATGATACTTGTGGAAAGAGCTGGTCCCCCTCTTAAGTGGGCTTTGCCATGTTGGATGCTCTTGCGATGCTTTTCAATGAGAAAAATATAAAGGTTAAAAGCTAACTTTCTGCTCTAAAAGCTTTTATTTTTCTTGCTTGCTGGTGTTTTCTCAGATGGGTTGGGGTGACTTAGGTGTGTTTGGAAATCCTTCCAAAGAAACCCCTAACTTAGACCAGATGGCTGCAGAAGGGGTGCTTTTCCCAAGCTTCTACACTGCCAACCCGCTCTGTTCACCATGTAAGTAGACTTGAGAATCTGAGGGAAATGTCATGGGCCTGTGGGTCAAAAACTGGGCATGACCCAATGCTAGCTGCACCATTCCTTCACAGTGGGCAAAACTATACCCCGAGGGGCCCCTGGTGCTCTTTCAGCTTGCTTGTTTTCTTGCAGACGTTTCATTTCCCAAACTAGGTAACATCATCAATGCTAGCAGGTAACACTGATGATATAACCTAGTTTAGGTAATGAAACATTGAGCACCAAGGACCCTTCATTTCAACCCTGAGTTACAGATATTCTCCTTTACTGAAACTACACCCTCTGTGGTTTAATTATTTAGTGCTGTGCTAAGATGTAGCGTGATCCAAAACTACTGTACAGCCACAGGTCTTTTGTGTTACAGATTAAATGCTCCCGTTAATGAATCTAGAAAGTCCCTGAGAAAATGTTCCGTTCTCCACAATAATTCAGTTCCTCTGATAATCCAGACTCCCCTCAAATCAGCCTGGTGCTGTTGGGGAGCAGTTAGGATAAAGTTCTACACATTGGAATCGTGGCAATTACCAGTAGTCCTCAAGTTACGCTGCTTAGCATCCATTCAAAGTTCTGATGGACCTCCCCAAAAAGCCATTTACCAGTTTCAAAGTTCTGATAGCTGCCTCCCCCCTCCCCACCCATAAGATTGCATTTTGGGCACTTGGCAACTGGCCTATGCTTATGGCAGTTTGCAGCACCTTGCTGCAAACCAGCACTTTTTTTTTTTTTTTTGCTGGAAACCAGCATTTATGAAGTACAATGCTTTTTTCTTAACAACAGTGGCATTTGCTTAACTACCACTGCAAAAAGGTAAAATTGGGTGTGGTCACATGGTAACCCGCTTAATGAGCAGCGTGACTTACAACTGTAATTCCGGGCCCAATTGTGGTCGTAAGTCAAGGATTCCCTGTATTGACGCTGAAACAGAAGAACTATATTCATTGTTGGGTGCTTGAAAGAAAGTCAGGCTTGGTGGATCTGCTGTCGTCTTCATGTTTCTCTTTTCTCTTCAGCCAGGGCAGCACTCCTGACAGGCCGTCTCCCTATAAGGAATGGCTTCTATACCACCAATGCCCACGCCAGAAACGGTAGGCCCTCTTCCTGCAAGCAAAGCCAAGGGCAAGATCTGGCTTCAGAGTTTCATGTTAAGGGAGACCTACAGGGTACATTTGGCTAACCTGCAAAGAGAGAGGAAAACAGGCAACCTCAGAGTTTTTTTGCTGATTATTTAAACTACCACAAGGAGAGGATCTCCAATGAGCGCTTAAAAAAAGGTTTCCAAACAGTCTTAATGCAGCTTGTATTCTAGAATTTGAATTAAGTCTGTGCTTGCTTCTGTGCCGAATGGGTTAAGGAACATTTGACAAAAGAGGAATTAAAGTAGTTGTGTGTTATTGTAGTTTAGCAATCTGTTTGAAATTTACTCTTTTAGCAGAAATATGTTCTCTAAACTTGGCAAGGGCATCTGGAGGGCATCACTAAGCTGCCCATAATGAGCACTTTGCTCCAGGAATTTTATGGTGAGATGCCAGCTTGAGCTGATTGGAAGCCAATCTAGCTGGCATTAGAATTGTTTGTTCCAAAATGGCAGATGCTGGAGGAGACCATATGTTTTGAAGCATGCATTTACAGCTCCAGATTGATGCATGCTGCATGCTGGCAAGTGTGGGTGTTTCTCTCTTTGCTGGAAGAGGAGGGCTTTTCATAGAACGACAAGGGCAAGAGAGTCATGGAAGAATGTGTGCAGCATCTAAAATAGGCTAAGGGCCTCTGCATTGCCTTTCTTGGTGATGGCTTAATAGAGGTGTGCTAGTTAGAGTAATTGAAAAATCCTGTTAAATGGCTATGCTGGGAGTTACAAGGTTCTCAGTGACATTTAATAGTTCTTGAAGGTGTGGGTAGAAGTTTTTTCCAACCCACATCATCCAAAGGCGAGCATCAGGGATTTAGGGCCCTGAAAGCAGCAGATGACTGAATCGGGATCTGCTTTAGGCTGGGACATAGCAAGAAGATAGAATCAATCGTACAGGTAGTCCTTGACTTGCAACCACAATTGAGTTCAAAATTTCTGTTGCTCAGTGAGACATTTGTTAAGTGAGTTTTGCCCCATTTTACGACCTTTTTTTCCACAGTTAAGTGAATTCAAGCAGTTGTTAACACAGTTAAGTGAATCTGGCTTCCCCATTTACCTGGCTTGTTAGATCATCACAAAAGGGGATCATATGCACCAGAGCCCTGGTGGCACTGCAGACTAAAGCACTGTTATTAACATCAGCTGCCTGCAATTACTGCAAGTTCAAATCTCACCAGGCTCAAAGTTGACTCAGCCTTCCATCCTTTCAAAGGTAGGTAAAATGAGGACCCAGATTGTGGGGGCAATAAGCTGATTTTGTATAAGTATATACAAAAAGTATGAAGGCTATTGCTTAACGCATTGTAAGCCGCCCCGAGTCTCCGGAGAAGGGCGGCATATAAATCAAATCCCCCCCCCCAAAAAAATGACCCCGGGATACTGCAGCCATCATAAATATGGCCCAGTTGATCCAATCTGCATTTGGATCACATGATCAAGAGGATGCTGCAATGGTTCTAAAAGTGTGAAAAACAGTCATAAGTCACATATTTCAGTGCTGTTGTAACTTTGAATGGTCATTAAACAAACTGTTGTAAGTCAAGGACTACCTGTATTTGTTGACCTGTGGAAGACCTTCCTAGTTCTTCTTGACCTCCCAGCAGCTTTAGTGCCATTCATTGGGCATCTTCCTGGACTGGCTATGGAGTTTGGGAATGGAAAGCAGGGTGCTCAATGATTTGCTTCCTTTCTCTGAGGCTAGTTTTAGGCAGTGTTGATAGGTAGGGAGATGTCCAGCCTGCAGCCCCTGTCACCATCTAGAGTCAGTGTTAACTTGGGTGGCCTTATAAATCTAAATTATAAACAAATAGGTATCTTCACAAGTCTCTTTGCTCTTTCTGCACCTTGTCGAAAGCCTACTTCTCTGCTTGTTTGCACAGCAAGATGGGTCTGATTTGCTGCTCAGTACATGTATAATACACAATATAATATATGTATAATCAGTATAATACATAAATTTCATGGATTAGTGTTTTACCCCTTCCCTTTTATATCCTGTGTGTTTAAAACCGCCAGTATAGCCTTTTGCTTTTCCTGATGTAAAGAATTAATGGGAAGTGAAGGCATACCTTGAACAGATCCCAAGAGAGTGTTGTTGGAATCTATTCTTGGCGTGTTTGGCATAGCCTGGTTTAGATGCCTCTAATCCTTGAACGACCCTGAGACCTGCTCAGAAGAGAGCACCAGCTCACAAATCCAATTCCTGTGGCTCGTTCATCTAGCTAAAGTGTTCTTGTCTTCATGCAGCCTACACGCCCCAGGATATAACGGGGGGCATCCCGGATTCTGAGCTGCTCCTTCCAGAATTGCTGAAGAAAGCAGGCTATGCCAATAAGATAGTTGGCAAATGGTAAAGTTTTTTTTCTGGCTACTTTATTTCTCTGTGCTTTTTGTAGGGGAACTGATCAGAGTTCTATTTCAGTCTGTAGGGCTTCAGAAATCTAGGCAAGCTGTCTGGATAACTGTGTGCTGTGATTGATTTATGAGCTATCCATGTGCTTCTTGGATTTCTTTTCATCACCAATGACAATGCTGCAGTGCTTGTAGCTGGTGGTCAGTTCTTCTGGTTTTGACTACCTTGGAATATGGAGATGTGGCACTTTCCTCTCAGAGGGGAAAGTGCCTCTCTCTCTGATCCCTGTTAAATCTACCATTCCCACAGGAAAAAGGATTGATGATGTTAGCACACCTTTGAAGAGTCGGGCCATAATCTAGATGGGCAGAGGGTAAACGGAGAGCTGGTGAGCAAATATTGACCTCAATCTGCCTGCGCTGCATCCTGGGAGCATCTTTAAATGAGCAAAGAGTTGGATCATTTAAATTGATGACCCACCTCTGTAGTGCTGGCGCAGGTGTTAAGAACAGAAACAGCCAGGAAATGATTCGCCTACATAAATCATGTTGTTAAAAAGAAGCTTGCAGCAGCTGCAAAAAATAATGTGTTCTTTGATCCACAGAAAAATAGAAGAGAGAGAAAGAGAGACCGAAGTGGTAGTGTTCCTCCTATTTATCACCTGGTTCATTAATGTCTCTGATTGTTATATGGCAGATTATTCCCCAACCAGGTGCTCTCCAGAGAGGCTGCATGCGTGTTGGGTAACAGATTCAAGCAGCATAGGGGTGGCTTAACTGGAAGAGGGGGCTCCCTGAAATGCTACCTTTCCAGGCAGCTGATTACCAGCCTGGGCTGGCTCAGTCCAGGGCCAAAGATCTGCAGCTCTCCTGGCGGTTTTAGTTGCTTAGGCACTTAGTTTAAACCCCGGAAGTTCGTTTTCCTCTCTGGTAAAATTCAAAGGAAGATTTGACTGAAAGAAAAGCTCTATAATGAGGGATGTGCAGTTATTTGACTCTGAAGTGGCCACATGGCTCCAGGAAAATAGGCGTTTTCAGATGACAGGGATAGAATGTGTAGTGAATGCATATTTCCTGGAAATCACACCGGTCTTGTGCAAGCCCAGGAAAAATCACCCGGCTATGTTTCTTCCTGCGTTTTTCTCCGCTGGAGGGCAATTTTGTGCCTGGCAGGCAAGTGCAGTTTCAGTGAGCCCTTTGTAGTTGTAGTTTCTCCTGTGCCATGCTGTGAGCAGCTTATTTTCTGTTCCATCCTTATTTGCAATTGTTCCTCTGCCCCGTTGAAGACCAGCCAAAGAACCCAAGGGACTGTTGAGCAGCTCCCTGAGAATAGCAAGGAGCAATACATTACTCATGCGTACTTGAGCATCAGAAAATGGTTTGGGTTATAAATTGCCTTAGGAAATCCTGGTTTTGAAAAATGGCACAGCAATTTAAAAAATAAATAGGTAGCATTGCTCAGGGCAGGACAGAGAGGAAGGAGCCAAGCAAAGAAGCTTGAGAACTGGGAAGAATGAACTAAAAAGATTGAAGAAGTGCCGTAAAGAAGTCTTCCAATACTTGCTGCTTGGCTGGGTGTTATTTCCTTGGCTGGGTGGTGGGTGTTATTTCCATCCTCCAGGTCCCTGAATTGTGATTTTTTGTTTTGTTTTGTTTTGAAGGTAGGAGCTGTTGACTGCCCCCTGATGCAATCCCCCCCCCCTTTGGCTAATAATCTTTTTTAGGCATCTGGGCCACCAACCTCAGTTCCATCCCTTGAGGCATGGCTTTGACACCTGGTTTGGATCTCCCAATTGCCATTTTGGACCGTACGATAACAAAGTCACCCCTAACATTCCTGTTTATAGGGATACGGAAATGATTGGCAGGTAACTTTCTTTTTTATATCACTCACTTCGCTATGTTCCTTTACTAGTTTTGCTCAACTGGTTTTGAGCCTTATCATGGGCAGCTTTGGAATGCATTCTCTTGCTTTTCTTCTGGCCAAGTTTGAGTAGTGGTTGTATTGCTTTCCTTTGCTTAAGAGACCCTGAGGCTGTAAGTTTCTGGATCAAATACCTGGGCAGTCCTCACATTTCAGAATTTCTGCCACAATTCAAATACTTGCAATGAAAATGATAATATCACCTTGAAAGCACATTGAGAGATCTGGACCCATTCATTGAGAAACTACTACATGTAGTAAATTATGTATGAACTCAGGATTATACATTAATCATTGAGAAGTCGGGAAAGGCCAGCCTCCCACTTACTTCTTGTCCATACGGCTTTATTTCATTTTTTAAATACATTTACAGGTCATCTATTCTACTCATTCCAGGTAGCTCATGTTAAACAAGCTTCAGACATGAAATACAGTTCATCCTTCACATTATTATCTACTAAGAGGGAAGAGAAAGTTTATATTTTAACATGAATGTTCCCAGATTGCAATTCCTGAAGTTGTATCTGAATCGACTGAATCAGCCATCAGTCATAAGCTGAAAATATTTTTCTAACCAATGCAGCCACAGTCCACACCTTTAAAACCTGCACTGAAAAGCACACACAAAAACACACTGGGGAAGGTGGCTTGCAAAAACATACGTACATTTCGTATGGAAAAGTGTACACACAATTTTTCATAGAGCTCTTTATAAAGTAGCAAGATGACGAGGAAATGAGTCAGAATGAAGAAAAGGCTAGAACAACAAGAAATTGAGCAAAATAGCTTGACTTACTGAGCTGATTGTTGCTGCTGTCAGCAACAGCCTTCATCAGAAGGAGCAAACCCTTATTCCTTTATTTTTGAATACCTAAAAATACAAGCAATGTTTTTCTGGTTGTCTTTTCTATTGTAGGTATTACGAAGATATAAAAATTGATCATACGTCAGGAGAAGCAAACCTAACTCAAATGTATTTACAGGTAATTTTGTTCTGAGAAACCCAAAGATCCTTTCTGTAGCCTAGGCGATTGCATTGAAAGTTGCTTCTCTCTTCCAGGAAGCCCTGGATTTCATAAGCAGCCAGCAAGCCAGGCATCGGCCATTTTTTCTCTATTGGGCCATCGATGCCACCCATGCTCCTGTGTACGCCTCCAGGGAGTTCCTGGGCACAAGCCAAAGAGGATTGTAAGTTGGTTTTGAGCAACATATTCTCCTTTCCCTTCCCCGTTGTCCCAAGAGAGAATCCCAAATCAGTCCTTATAATCTGACTCAATGGAGATACCCATGCAGGGTTTAAACTGTGTGTTTCATAGAATTATAGAGGCTGGAGGCATCATGATCAGTGTTTTTCTAAGTTGGCAACTTTAAGATGTGTGTGTCAGGGTTCAAAGTAACACCCCCAACAAAATAACACTCTGAGGCTTGAAGTTCCTCAAAGTTCCATTTTATCAGAGATGTCATATTGGCACATCTGGAAAACCCCAAATCTGAAAGTTTCCAGGTTTTCCCCACCCAAAGGAAAGTTCAAGTCCCTGCCCAGCACCCACAAGTCCATCACATGGTCTAATCAAAGCACTGTCCCAACTGGAGATAAGTCCCAGTTCCAGCCTTCCAGGTACAAGGCAAGATGTCCTTGACTCTCTGAAAGGAATGTTATTATGATTATATATATCACCCTGACTCTACATAATTCCCTCCTCCCAGTTTTCCACAGTAGTAAATGTGGCAGGCCTGAAGATCCAACAAAAAAGATGGTTTCCAGGCCTGATAGTGTAGACTTCAACTCACAGAATTCCACAGCCAGTTCTCACTTCAGTATACTGCCTCTTGGGCTCTGAGCAAAGGAGTGTCTGCTGTAACACTATAGTTATTTTTCCATACACTATGGCTTCAAGCTGCAAAAAAAGACAATGCCAGCTTGGAAAAAATCAAGGAGAAGAGAGGAAACAAAGGCAGTCAACAATGAAGGACAAGCCCTTCTCTGAAAATACTTTCCTGTCCTGATGGAATTTCTTCACCTCCACCTTTCCCTTGAATGTAACTTGCAAAATAACAGATGTGCTGGAGAATCACTGACATTTATAAAACAGTAACATGGTGCATGTAATTATTTACTTTCTTGCTTAAACTGGAGGAAAAATAATCACCCAGGTCTTTCCCAAACTAGCCCACTAAGTTACTTACCAAGAAGCTGCCATATTGGTTGTTATTAGTTTTTGTTTTAATAATCATTGGCATGGGCGGAAAGAATCAACAGCCACACCTAGCATTAAAAAGGGCCGTTGAGGTCTTCTTTCTGTTCTAAGAACCATTGCCATGGCCCAAATTACACCAGGCAAGATGACTATATATCTAATGTACATCAACAGCCACACCTAGCATTAAAAAGGGCCGTTAAGATCTTGTTTCTGGTTGTAAGAACCATCACCATTAGTATAATTAACCTGGTAAGAAAGGTATAAAATCTATGATCAATCACAGCACAATTAGCAAGAATACATGAGAACTCTTTAGTTTCACAACATATTGACAAACCTAACCATTGTTTCAAATTGGAAATTGTGACCATCATAGACCAACCCAAGTCCAAGAACACTAGGATATTTCCAAAAGCCAGGCAACTCTGACAAATCAGCTATCAAATGACCTAGACATAAACAATACCAACATCTGTGCACAACAAACAATGCAGAAGCCCAAAAGAAATCAACAGGACCAAAACACACCCTTACCAGCAATCAGCACCTATATGAACATAAACTGCACACCAGAACAACTAGACACAAGAACAATTTTTCCCGAACACCATCACTCTGCTAAACAAATCATTCCCTCAACACTGTCAAACTATTTACTAAGTCTGCAGTACTATTAATCTTCTCATCGTTCCTATCACCTATCTCCTTCCACTAATGACTGTATGACCGTAACCTTGTTGCTAGTATCCTTACGATTTATATGGACTGTTTCCTAATATGATTTGATTGCTTATTTATTCCCTATGACTATCATTAAGTGTTGTACCTTATGATTCTTGACGAATGTATCTTTTCTTTTTATGTATACTAAGAGCATATGCACCAAAGACAAATTCCTTGTGTGTCCAATCACACTTGGCCAATAAAGAATTCTAATCTATTCTATTCTAGTTAATGAAACCAATGACTTACTTTTGATGTCTTCAGTCTTGACTCATTTCACGTAGTGCCTTTGAAATAAAAATAAAAAATCAACATCACCAAATGTCTACCTGATGTTCAGAGACCAGAAAATCAATTCAGCAATTTTAGAAAGGAGCTTTTATGTTCATTATCCTATCAATGAAAGAGAGATGATACAATGAATTGGAATGTTATGCCCTTGAGAATACTTCAGACCACAGGTTTTTACCATTCCCAAAGGTAGGGCTTCCAGCCCCAGGAATTTCTCTTACTCTCCAGGAACAGGAAGGCATCCCTAAAATTGCCTTAGGCCCTGAGAGTTTACCTTCCTGAAAGTCGGTCAGGTCAGGTCAGAATAAGAATAAGAATAAAAGAATAGAATTCTTTATTGGCCAAGTGTGATTGGACACACAAGGAATTTGTCTTGGTGCATACGTTCTCAGTGTACATAAAAGATACATTTGTCAGCTCCTGGACCTAAAGAAATTTTAATGGGATGGGAGTGATGGGAGCAACATGGCGCTCCCATGTAACACCACTCCTGCGCGAGCTGCACTGGCTCCCGGTGGTCTTCCGGGTGCGCTTCAAGGTGTTGGTTATCACCTTTAAAGCGCTCCATGGCATAGGGCCTAGCTATCTCCGAGACCGCCTACTGCTACCGATGACCTCCCATCGACCCGTGCGCTCCCACAGAGAGGGCCTCCTCAGGGTGCCATCAGCCAAACAATGCAGGCTGGTGGCCCCCAGGGGGAGGGCTTTCTCTGTGGGGGCTCCCACCCTCTGGAATCAGTTGCCCCCGGAGATAAGAAGAATCCAGGACCTCAATGCCTTCCGTCGTTCCCTGAAAACCTATCTTTTCCAGCAAGCCGGGTTGGCTTAAGAAGAAATTTTAAAACTTTTAAATCCTTTTAATTAGTCTGTGATTTTTAATTTTTTGGGCCAAATTTTATATATATTTTTAAATGTTTTAATATTTGTATTCTATGTTTTTTATCTTGGCTGTACACCGCCCTGAGTCCTCAGGGAGAAGGGCGGTATATAAATTCGAAATTAAATTAAATTAAATTAAATTAAATCAATTTTTGCCTTTAGAGCCTTGAAGTAGTTGACCCTCTACATATTTTGAGGAGAGGAATAGAATAAGCTTTATTGGCGAATGTGATTAGATACACAAGGAATTTCATTTAACTTGAGCCTTGACTAAAATTACCTCAGGCCCTAAGAATTCACTTTATTCCTAAGGGCAAACTCAATTTTACCTTTAAAGCTGATGTTAACCCTTACTCACCTGAGGCAGTTTGGTCCTTTTAACAGGACACATCAGATCCCACCAATATTTTACTCCTAAAAACTTGCGCCTTGGCTAAAACCATTCAGGAGCCAGAAGCCCCCTCATTCCCTGAGGGAAACGCCCCACTTGGTGGGACTGAGGTAACTCACCCAGCCTAGGTGAGCTGTGGTGAGACATCATTGAGGCATTTACCTCAGGAGTCTCCGCTAGAATCACTACCTAAGGCCAGAGGCCGCGGGGGAGAGAAGCAGCAGCCGCGTCTCTTCGGAGGAAGGAGAGGCGCCTCCGGCTGCTGCTTCTGCACCGCGCTCGCTTCTCTCTCAGCCCGTCGACTTTTTAAACTGCCTTCGCCCCTCGGAGGGGGAGAGGCCGCTCAGCCAATCCGAGGGAAAGGATTTCCGAAGCAGCCAATCGCAGCCGAGGTGGGTGTGGAGAAGGTCCCGGAGAAGCGCTGGGCGGGGAAAGCGCGTGGCTCATCCTGGCCAGGTGTGCCGCCCCCCCCCCAGGTGAGGGCGCTGGGAGGCCGGGCGCGTGGCCTGTGCGGGTGCAACGCCGCCTCCTCCGGGCCTCGCCACACCTTTGGACTACAAATCCCAATCTCCAGCCAGCATGCGAGGCCGGGGTGGTGTCTTCTCCGCCGCACCCCCTCCCCCTCCAAGGACCAGTGTTTAAATGTTCTCTTATTATCTTTGCAGAGGTGCTTTGAGGACTGATAGATCAGAGGGAGACTTGGCCTTATCCTGGGGATGCTTTGGATTACAAGTCCCATCAGCCACCTCTGGGGTGGTGGTGGTGGTGATATAGGGATGGTCCCTTCGTGCAACAGAGCAAGAAGTTAAACAGGGAAATCTGAAAATTTAATAAATAAAAAAATGATATACACACACACACACACACAGTAAAGGAGATGCGTTGGACTACAGATCCCATGAGCCAGCTTTGCAGGGGGGGGGGGCTGATGGGGATTATCTCTCTTGCAATAGCCCCACCTGAAATTCAAGCCTCTTTTTCTGTGTTTTTGTGTTTTATTTGCGTCTTCCCCACCATGTTACAATCTTACCAAGCAGCTCTTGGTTTTTGTTGTGCAAATAATGAATTTGTTATTTTTTCCAGTTTGTTTTGGGGGGAAAAAAAAACTGGGCTGGTTTGCTTTGCTTTCTGCTTAAATGTTATAAATGGAGTTTTTGATACATTATGTCTTAGCCCCTGAAAGTGAAAGAAATTGTCCCAAGTTTGAAACTTTCCTGCTTTCTCTATTACAGGAACACTTCCCTCCCCCCACCCCCAAGTAAATGTTTTCAAAGGGGCGGGGAGGGTGCTTGTCCAAAAGTGCAAAATAATAAATGGCTGTCTTGGTTGTGCTCATTTATTTATGGTTTAAATGTGATTTATGAAACTAGCCAGATTTTCTGTCCTAGAATGACAATGAACTGTAAATTACCAATATGTCCTCCTTTCACAGAGCACCCTGAGCTAAAATTGGGTGACTGATTCTTTGTGTTTCGCAAATCCAGTTATTGATTGATAAAATTGGCTGCTTTCTATGTGGTATGTTAGAATAAAGTTGCAATAGAGAAACTGATCTTTTGGCTATTGCACCCTTATAGTCTACAGTACTCCTTGCCAATGGATATGCTGGCAGGATCTGCTAGGGGTTGTAATCCAACAACATCTGGAAGCACAGCATGTTCCTGTAAATGATGATAGGTTACATCTATGTATTGTTTTATGTTGTTGTATGCATGCCCTCAGCTTAGCCTCACCCCTCTTCTTTTCTCTTCACTGCTATTTTACTGGGAAAACTGATTCCACCCCCTATCTTTTACCTGCTTGGCTAGTTAGAATGAGCATTCTATATAAGTATAGTTTTATAAATGCAAATACGAATAGAAATAATTTGTATTAACATTTCTTTTGTACAAGGAATATTATTACAGGCTAGGCCTTCAATTTTTTGTATTTATTTGGACCTTTTGGAAACATAGTTGTTTTTATAATGTGTTATTCTTGTATTATAAGCTGCTCTGAGAGCAGTGTACTGTGGGATGTTCACTCATAAATGAGACTGCTGTATATAAGTGACTTTGCAAATGCTGTGCACCATACACATGCATGTCTGTGTACACACACATGTACATACGGATATACATTGAGTATCCTCAGATACCTTCATGTCCACCTCGACTGCTTTGTAATTTCTTCTCCCTGTCTCTTAGGTATGGCGATGCTGTGCGGGAAATTGACTTCAGCATTGGGAAAATTCTTAGTCACCTTCAAAATCTGGGCATCAGCAACAACACCTTTGTGTTTTTTACATCTGACAACGGGGCCGCCCTCATTTCAGCCCCAGAACAAGGTCAGTTTTTTCGGAATGGACCTTGGTAGGGTTGGGACAGAATATTAGAATTTGCTGACTTGCTTTCTTCCAATTATAAATACAAATAAGTATTTATATCAGGGTGGGGGTGGGGGGAGTTGACAGTATCTTTTTGAATGATTTATTAGCCCATAGCCTGAATTCAAATTCTACCTTTCTCTGTCCAGAAACGTTTTGGAATGGTTTTCTTTTTATGCAGGAGGCAGCAATGGCCCTTTCCTATGTGGCAAGGAAACGACTTTTGAAGGTGGCATGAGAGAACCAGCTATTGCCTGGTGGCCAGGACACATACCTGCGGGACAGGTGGGAATCTGAGGGGGGATCTTCTCTGTAGGACTTAACAGTAGTTTTGCTTTATATGGCACCCTTCAGATCTATAGGTATAATAACGGCATTTACTGCTGGCTTGTAGAAAATATATGGTTTTGAATTCTTTTCATGTTCTGTCACTTCCAGTTTTTGGCAATCCTGCACCATAGTGAACAACTGGATTTACTTAACCACTAATAAATCTAGTAAAATCAGGTCAGTCACGTGGCCGATCCATTTGCGATTTATGACCATAATCTGCAGGCTCCATTAGTGGTATCTCAAGGACTGCCTGTAAACAGAATTGTCTGGCCCAGTTCACCTGCTGCTTGTGCTTTCTCGAAGGATCCAGCTGCAGGACTTTGTATTTTTGTGCTCCTTTCAGTCCTTCTCCTGTTCCAGCCCCCTCCCTTTCCGTCTCCTTTCCTCCTCTTCCCCCCTCCCCCCTCCCAGTTCTGCTCCCTGAAGGAGAAAAGAACATATCAAGCCAAAGACAGCACTGCAACCTTTTCTTCACTGTCTCCCACAAGGCACAAATTGAAATTGAATTAGACAGGGATATCAGGTCTGCTTGCTGTGATAAATGTAAAAGGATTTTATTTAAAAACACCCTGACATTTGTTCACCCAGTTTCAAATATTTAGCTTTCCTCCTTTCCATTCCTGGCGGGGGCAACTTTATTAATTGTCGCCTTTGATTCAGAGTTAGAGCTTGAAAGCGCTGATAACGCCGGAGCTGGCTAGTTCTTCCCCTGATGTGGCCCGCGGCAAAAAGGATTTCATTTTCTTAAAGACGCTCTGTATGTGCTGAGAGTTTATAAAATATATATAAGACCCCCTCTTCTCACGCACGGTAATACGGGCTGTTGTTTGCTGATATGGAAAATATCTGATCTAGCTCTTCTGGCTTTCATTATTTATTTTTCACCAAGCCACGACTCTTCAGAACGTTCTCTTCCCTTCTCTTCCTCATTTTGTTACGGGAATGGCAAAGGAAGGAAAGAGATTGTCAGCAGAAGAAAGTGCTACATTCACCCTCTGAAAATAAGAGAGGGCAACCCCCCCCCCCGCCCCTAGCAACCTCCTCCTGTTTCCACCCCCGCCCCAGATTTTATCTCTCCAATATGGTGCTGCAGATAAATCCAAGTAGCTGTAACATTGGCATTTAGCTTCTTTTACGAAATTTTCTGTCCTCCATGCAGGGGGCAGGGTGGGAGGCTAGTGACAGAATTAGCAGTTGAAAATGAGCTATCATCTCCAGGCTCGGTGGAATAATGGGAGGAAGAGCGAGGCAGTTGCTGGCAGCCCGGGTGGAATGGACAACTTGCCGTAGCCAACTTGCTACAGCCAAGCCAACTTGCTGTGGGACAATTTAACAATTCAGTTTAATTATTTAAAATAAATATTTTAATTTTTGTTATTCACATTTCATTCAGTCCCTCCTTTTGATCCTTTTTAAAATGATTCTATTCCACCATTTCTTTGATATTAATATAATTGTCATACACCCTTCCTGGGCTGGTGGGGTTTTTTATGCAAAGCAAGAATAAAAAGATCCTTGGAATTTACCCAAACATTCCACTCACAGGGATCTGACCATCCATTTCTGCTGTGGGAAAATGCTGCTGCTAGTTGGGGTTTCCTCTGTAGCTGCATCCCAGAATCTCAGCCCTAAAATTTATATGTGGAGTTGAAATTCTGTTTTCTCTGCATCTCCAATATCCTTCAGTAGTCCAACCTTTCATTTTTCAACCTTAGCAACTTCAAGAAGTGTGGACTTTAACTCCCACACCTCTTAAAGTTGCCGTGGTTGGGAAATGGTGCTCTGGAGAACCCTGCTGGTGGTTGTGGCTACAGCATCCCAAATTGCTTTGGAGGCCCTCAGCATCTCTCAGCCACTTGGGAGACCAAGAATCAGGGTAAATGTCTATTCTCAGCCATCCCGCCATGGTTGTCCTAAAGGTGCTTTTTTCAAAAGGCAACTGGACTTGCTTGGTTTTAATAAAGCATAACAATAAAAAACCCAAAGGAAGTTTAAAAATCTGGGTACTCAAGTTTGGACAGAACAAAGCCAACCACCTTGAAGAAGCAGCACAGCTTAGTGGCAGAGCTCCCCGCTTTTCCCACCGAAGGGCCTGATCCAGGCACGTCTCTCTGCAAATCCTGGGGCTGGGCTAGAAGGCCCAGATAGAGAGAGGTTTTTCAGCTTTGCGTCACTGAAGCAAGAGTTCCCACCCAGGCTCTCGTCTTGTGGCTTGCAGGTGAGTTACCAGCTGGCCAATGTGATGGATCTCTTCACCACTTGCCTCTCCCTGGCAGGACTGCAGCCTCCCGGTGACAGGCAGATCGACGGCATCGACCTCCTGCCTGTCCTTCTGCAAGGCAAACTAATTGACAGGTGAGTTATGGGCACCCCGCTCCCCTTGCGGCTTTCTGCCAGTCCCCCCTCCCTGCCCTCAGCCTTATTGAGGTGCAGCAGAAATAGGTGGCTATTTTTGGAGCCTCTTATTATAGAAGGGTTACTCCTGTCATTTGTTCGTGAGGATGAAGCACCTGCTTCCTAAAGCTTTTGCGGATGTTGTATCTGGAGCTCGAAACATACATCGGTGACTGCCTTGTCAGTCCACGCAGCTTAGCGTTACGCTGCTGTTCCACAGGTCTCCCTAATTACTATAGAGATACGGTAGGATAGGTTGGCTGTTGAATCAGGCCGTTTCCACGTTCCATGTCATAAGCCATGACAAGATGTTGGAGTTTAGCAATCCTGGAGGACCACATGTTTGTTCATGCCTGCATTAAACATGTAGATTTAATAGATGATACTTCTACTTCAGTGTCCTTGATTTTCCCCAACATTTCTGGGCCTTTTTCTAAAGAGCCCCTTCCAACAGTTCTGCTGCTAAGTTTTTTAGGTCAAGCTATGGACACGATACAATACAATACAGGATACCAGCACGACCAACCTAACATTCGCTCAGCCTAATTAGATTTGGTCCATTAAAAGTCACATAATTCCAGGAAAGTCCAACTTACTCCCAGTCTCTCAACTCCACAACATTGAGTTTGTACAAATAATATGGTGCTGTCTTCTTTTTTTGAAAAATAATTGAATGAAATATATATGTTGCTCTATTCAAGTTCAAAGCAAATTTCCAAAGCTTGCTTTCTCCTGGCTTTGGGGCTGGCAATTTGGCCTCCTCTATCTTTGGCATCTCCATCACACAGGTGCCTTTCTCCCTTGAGTATTTTAAGTCAGCGGACTTCTCCATGTGAAATTTCACAGCCTGGTAGTTCAAGGATGAACAATCACTGGCAAGACAATTGGTATAACGTTTCATTCTGGCTTTGCTAGGCAAGCTCCCCCTCTTGATGGATGCTTTTAAAAATGCTAATTGAAAACCTTGCAGAAGGGCTATTAGAAGGCCGCCTGCTCCAGACTGATAGCTGAGTTGCCGGCCAGGCTTTGCTAAAGAGTTTGTCTCCCTTATCTCGGTAGCTGCCTGGAGGGGTGGGGGGAAGCGACTTGTTGGGACATGTTACATTTCTCATGTGGCTGTACATCTCTCTTTGTCCCTCCCCACCCTCTCTCAATCAGACCAATATTTTATTACCGTGGCAATGAAATGATGGCAGTGCGGGTTGGGCTTTATAAGGCCCATTACTGGACCTGGAGCAATTCCTGGGAGCAGTTCAGCCAGGTAATTGAAAATTAATTCTTCCCTCCCTCCCTCCCTATTTGCAGAAGTGATGCTTCATCAAAACACTTCAAATACTTCAATGCAACATGTAGTTTTAAAGAATTTACAAAGGTGTTAAAAAGCTTTTAGGGAGGATCAGTATTGTATTAAAAAGAAAACATTTAGACTAACTCCGTGTTTTCAAACATAGCAACTTTTAAGATATGTGGTCTTCAACTCCCAGAATTCTTAAAGCTGCCAAGTTTGAAAACCGTTGGGCTTAACCCTTCCAGTATGCTTAACTTTTCCTAGAGGTGCCTTCTGCTTCTCTCCCCAATGTTTGCTGTCTCAGTATCAGCCCCAGGGAGAGAAGGAGAAGGCACTTTCCCAGTTGCACTCAGGCGTGCTTTGTTTCTCTGGTCAAGTGAAGCATCTCAGGCCTGCTGGAAGAAAGGGCCCGTCTTTGCCTTGGATCCCTTGCCGCATGTCTGCCGGGTGTGTCTGTGAGAAAGAGCACAGCTTTGATAATGGAGTTGCTGGTTCCAAGGTTATCCCCCTGTGAGTGGTGGCAGACGTGCAATTAAGGAGTGTTTATTCCTTTCTAAGTCTTTGTTTAACTGCTAGTTGATAAAACTCAGCAATTATTCTGTACATCATAGGGTGATTAAAAATCCATTGCTTTCCTGCTGCTTGTGTTGTCTGCGGTTGGGGTGAGTACAACCAGAGCACCCAATTAGTGGACAGAACCACCATTAACAACATGAAGATTGCACGAGGGCTAAAATTGGTCCTATTCTTCTGGTGCTCTGATACTAATTACAACACTGGCTAATAGTTGTTTTTCTTAAAAAATAGAATGCTGAATATCATTACATTTTCGATTGCAGATGCTTGAAACACTCCCAAAGTATAATTGCTGTTTAATCTCCTTTCTGCTGTCTCTCTCCAGTTTTTTATCAATATTATTGATAGTGAGGCTGGGAGATACATAAACAAAAGCAACTTGAGGTTGTTGGTTCCTTTATGAAAAGGGAATATTAAACATGTATGTTGAATATGAGAACAGGGATTGCAACAGCCAGCAGTGGCTGAAACCTCCTCAATGGATACGAATCAGCTTTTTAATTGGATATTTTCCTCTATTGGAGCCAAGGGAATAATGAAAAATTTACCTAGAGGCTTCTTGGGATCTGACACGTGTCTGGGGCTGGCTGGATTGCCTCAGGTCAAGGCTGGGATAATGGAGGAAATGAGGGTTCCCTTGGATAGACCAGGCCATTCTCTGAATGTCTCTGGAGACCCAGAGGGGGTCCTCCTTCTGTCTGCTCTGTGAAGTGGTAGGAGTAGGCAACTTCAGGGATCTCCTTTCAGGGGCAGGTGCTTCTTCTGGGGCATCCTATGGTTGGAACTACAGTCGCTCAAGTCTTTTGCTCTGGATGTGGAACTTGGTCCTGGATTTGCCCAATTCTGTTTACCTTAGCTTATCAAGAGAGGGCACCATTCTTGCAAAAACCACCTGCTTTTCTCAACATGCCAAAAGTAGAGAGACAAAGCAACTCAGCAGGAAATCCACCTGGCTAAGAAGAAGCTGGCAGAGTCGTTTTGCAGCTGTAACTGACCGAGGAAGAATATTTACTTAGCTGCCATCCAGAAACTGTAAAAGGGCCATTGTGATTTACAAGTGGTTCTTGTTTGCACAGTTTTAAGTTGTCATCCCTTGATTAATGGGTTGTGTTGAGCAGAAGGGAAGATGGGTGTAAATAACTGAGGTATGAAAAATAACACTTCTGGAGGTACATTTTTTTTCTGAACATAATAATAGGTAACTCTTTAAATGTGGGCAGGCAGATTAACACCTCAGATGCACTGGAGAATCAATTAGAGATGCCAAAGGGTTTGAAGGGTTGGAAAGGAGGTAGAGGCTTTGCTACAGATGCCATGTTGCTTTGGAGATTTAGGATTCCCCCCCCCCCACAAGCCTGGTTTATTCTCAAGGGGGGTGGGGCACTGCTACAGGATGAGGGGAGCTCTGCCAGCTGCCCTTTCCCTTCCAGGTCCGGAGTGGGGCAGATGAGGACCCGTCTCTCAAGTCCAAAGCAGCCTTGCCCAGATGTGAAGGCAGCCTTGGGAAGTAGACCATTTGGGTGTCCAACTTCTCGCAGAGGATGGCCCCCTCCTCCCTCTCCCCCCTCTGATCCTACCTTATTCTAAACCTCATGCATCGCAGTAGTGCAGTGGTTCCCGTTACGAAAGGGGGGGCTCTGTTTGGAATCCAGAAGGCACCTTTCAGCTCCCCTTTGCAGGAAGGCAGGGTTGGCTGAGTGGAGAGGGAATCCACAGCAGAAGGATGGAGATGGTACCCAGGTGAGGGGTTGCCAGATCAAAGGATGTTAACGTGTGTACTTGCGGAAAGCCAACTGGCACCCGCCTGCTGCTGAGCTTCTTGTTTATATTTCTTCAGCATCTGTGGCTGTTGGCTGGGAAACAGATGCAGGAACACAGCAGCCGCAGAGCAGGGTGACCATGATGGTTGGTATGGGTTAGAGGGAGGAAATCACGCGGTTGAGATTCAGCGCCAGAGCCAGACCAGGGCACGCCTGATCCGTGAAGAAGATAGGTTCTTCCTTATACTTCAGAAATGGACGCTGCATGTTTCAGTGTAAGAGTGAAAGTCGAGTGCTGTTTGCAGGGGACATTTTTGGGTAGGAGGGTGGAGGATTCTGGGCCTATTTCTTAAAAGTCTGGCAAATCTTCCAGGTGCTTTTATTAAGAATTTACATTCTGTGTTTCTCCTGGTATTAGGCTTCAAAGCTTCCAGGTTGGGACACCAGATGTCCTATAATATTTGTTAATCTCGACTAGCAGCTACTTCTGCTACTTCACAGCAGCCAACACAAAATAGATTGCTGTTGCATTCTAAGCCAGTATTTCTCAACCTGGTGACTTGAAGATGTCTGGACTTCAACTCCCAGAATTCCTCAGGCAGCATAGCTGGAAATTAAAATCCAGACATCTTCAAGTCACCAAGGTTGAGAAATACTGTTCTAAGCAGTGCACAAGATGCGCAGAGGAGAACCTTTGGGTTTGAGTGGCACCAGATAAGGATGTGCAAAGGTACAAAGACAGGTGGAGGGAGCGGAGTGTCCCTCTGGTGTTTCTCTTCAAGAAAAGACCTTCGGGCTTTCTCAGGAGAAACCGAGTTGGCGCAATGAACACCGGCTTTGAGAGAGGGCAAGTGGCACAGCCAGAGTGCTCCCCTGCACATCCTTACTTGGAAATTTGTCTTGACTCTCTGACGTTGCCACCCAGAGGGAGGAGATCTGTGTCTAATGACCGGCAGACAGATTTTAACCCACCCTTGGTGATTAGTTGAATGCCTAATTTCAAGCCTGTGTTAACATGAGAAGGCAACGGACTCTGTAAACAGAACAGCATGGCAGCAAATACCCAGAGAATAAATTCTTACCTCGTGCAAAAACCCCCACATTTGCACTATAGGCGCACCATACTAATTAGCATGCTCTTAATTAAATAGCCTTTTTGATTTGCATCCAAATTACAATTGTTCCGGTTTTGGCTTTTATTAGCTGTTATCATTGTCATTGTATTATTTTCCTCTCTAAGAAGAGATTTGGGCTTGGCAGAAAAGCAAAACTTGCAGGGTCTCTGGGCAGCCGAAGGTGAAAAGGTCAATCACCTCCATAGCCATTCAAAATCCATTCGAGGGTTGCCTGCTGCAGAGTATCAAAACTTTCTTTCTTTCTTTCTTTCTTTCTTTCTTTCTTTCTTTCTTTCTTCTTTCTTTCTTTTTTCTTTCTTTCTTTCTTCTTTTTTCTTTTTCTTTCTTTCTTTTCTTCCTTCCTTCCTTCCTTCCTTCCTTCCTTCCTTCCTTCCTTCCTTCCTTCCTTTTTTTTTCCCCTTTCCTTCCTTCCTGCCAGCCACTGAGACAGGAATCTATAGCTCTCTGCAGGTAAATGGGATTTCATGAGCTTCTAACCTTTCTTACTTTATTGAAAAGCAGAATATTAACTGCTCCACTGACCAGCCTATCCATTAAAGACACACGGGATATTTTTAGAAAATTGTTTGCCAATCACATCCCCTCCAACGTCTGCAAAGAGACTTTTGGCTGAATACTTGTTTTACATGCAAGCAGAGTGCAGCTGCGCCACCTCCCCGCCCTCTCATAATAGCACCCTTGGTCTTCTGGGAAGCAACAGCAGTCTGGAAAGATGGCCTTGGAGGAGGGAGGGGCGCGGGGGGGAATCTGGCCTGGGCTGCTGTGACCACCAGTGATAGGCAAGGAGGGCATTCCTGGAAGAGGCCCATGCGTTCCTTCCCTGGCCCTGCCAAGGTGGAGGCAAGAGTCGAATGAGATAATATAGTCTGGGGTGGACATGCCAGGATGGAGAATGCCATTTGAGGCAGAGGGTTGGCACTCCTGCCCAAGAGTACTTTCCTCAGAAGAATTAATGCCCAAGGAGAGAGGAACCTACCCAGGGGAGAACTGGGACTCACCCACTTGCCCTCTTCCCTGCCACGCCTGTTATCCTTTTGCCACCTGTGTAGATCTGGACCGAGCCTGTCCTGGGTGAGCTGGCTGGTATCTTCAGGGCTGGGAAGGGTGTCATGTGTCACGAAGTCTTTTTTAGCCAGGCAGGTTGCCAAGAGTCCCTGCTGTCCCTGCCACACCTGGGCTGCCCCTGGAGATGTTCCAGGCTGGACTCCTGGGTGCTCGTGTGCTGGTGAACGAATCCAGAGGGTGCATTCCTAGGAATTCCTAACATGGCGGATTGGTGTCCCAAAGGCAGTTTTCCAAAAGGCAACTGAACTTTTTTGGTTTTTTTCCTTGAAAACATTTTGCTTCTCATCCAAGAAGCTTCTTCAGTAAACAGTAAAAACCAAGAAAGTCCAGTTGCCTTTTGGACAACCCTGGCCGGGATGACTGAGAAGCTCCAGAGCCGAGCGGATGGGCGTGTAGAGCGTGTAATGCAGTAAGTTAGAAGGAGAGAGAAATTATCCCAAAAGGAACAATTGGATGCACCAAAGGTCCAGATATGGCCTCTGCTCGGATGGAAAGCAGTTGGGCCTCTGCTGCAGCTCCATCTCTTTGGCCTCCCTTTGCCCGCTACCTGCCTTGTCCTCACTACTGACTTCCTCTTCCTTTCCTGGTGCTGCAGGGCATCGATTTCTGCCCGGGGCAGAACGTTTCCGGAGTCACCACGCATGAGCAAGTGGAGCACTTGAAGTTCCCCCTGATCTTCCACTTGGGAAAGGACCCTGGAGAAAAGTACCCGATCAGGTGAGGGGGGAGGGGTACCTGAGCGAGAGGCGCCTCCCATCCAGTGAAGGGAAAGGGGTTACGGGGACATCCCGGGGAGGGAAGGCAACGCCACTCTAGGTGGGCCTTTGGTGATTCCTTCTCCTCTACTCCACGGATCAATCCAAATGGAAGCTGGTTTTGGAAAGGGCTCGTGTTAAGCTCCTCCTTCTCCCCAGACACGGGGGAAACACCCCAGGTTTTCTTCCAGGGCAGCAGGCATGAGGTGTGTATCTGTGTTAATTTAACTTAATTATCCCCCTTGGCCAGGCTGCCGGGGGTGCCTATGCTAATTGCAGGTGGAGGGCAATCCCTTGTCCAAAGATAATTCGACTTCAAGCATGTGCCAGCAAGGGCCATGTTGCCTGCAGGCCAGCAAAACAACCATATTCCTGTCCATGGGGAAGGGGAAGAACGCTGGTGCCCATGGGAGGCTTTCCCTCTGGGAGAACCAACCTACCTGCTGGGCCCTTTTTTCCAGAGACGGCCATTGAGGAGATGAATGCTGCTTCTGTGAAGACGCAAGCAGAGCTAAGCTAATCAACCTCAGCAACTTAAGATGTGTGGCTTCAACTCCCAGAATTCCCCAGCCAGCTGCGGGTTGAAATCCACCCATCTTAAGTTGTTGAGGTTGAGTAGCCCTGGACTAGAGGCCAAGCAGCCCTCGGGTGGAAAGGATGGAAGGACATGAAAAGAAGCTTCTCGGTTGCAGGTGGAGCCCGGTCAGCCTCCCGGGGAGAGCAATCCTAGAAGCAGGGAGGAAGCCCGGACCCCACCTTTGCTGATGACCCAAACCGTTTTGCCACAAGGGTCACCATCCTTTGGCTTCACAGTCATGCTGGAAAGAGAGGGAAAAGGAACCTGAAACATGCCTGGGACAAAGCTGGTATGCTACTCGCCCCCCCCCCCCCCCCTTCGTCTCAGTTCCGAGCTGATGCTGCTGCAGGCCACAGCAGGGTTAACCACGGAATGAGCTCTGTCCTCCAAATCCGCTTCAAGTGGGAGGAGGAGGAGGAGGAGGAGGAGAGGGGACAGATTGCGGGAGCACAATTACGCTAAATGAACTAAACGCACATCACACCTGTGCCTGGGACCACCTGCCTCCCCTTCCATTCCTGATTGGCTCTCTGGGGACCTCCCAGAGGTAAAGTGTTAATTAGTGTAATGACCCTGGACTCCGTCCACTCTGTGCCTTCATCCAGAGTCTGGAATAATTCCGGTACACAGGGGGAATCTCGCAGGCAGCCTCCTTTCCGCGCCACCTGCTCACCCAGCACTGCCTCGCTCTTCCCTTTCATTCTTCCGCTGCAATTCCCAGCCGCTCTTGCGGAGGCTTGAAGAGACAGAATACAAATTTAGGGCATCCCGGGGGCAGAGTGGCCTGTCGCTTGGTGGAGGCATTCGAGACACCTGTGCCGGCGTAGCCCCACGGCTACCACAAACATTGTGGATTCGAACTATGCTCCCTTGTCGTTTTTTGGTCTTGGATGGCCCTTGCCAAGCACATCTCCCTGGGAGCAGAGGGGTGACCTGGACTGGCCTGCCACCAGTTGGTGGATGGGTGCTGCTGGCCTTCCCCTTTGGGGAGGATGGGAGCTCGAGGCCTGCCTGCAGAAGAACCAGGGTTCAGTTCTGCCTTGAGTTAAGCAGGCCGTTCTGGGTCCCCAAAGATGAGTGAGCATCTAGGGCAGTGTTGCCTCTCTTTGTACAGCAGTGTTTCTCAACCTTGCTGATTTTTAGAGGTCTGGACTTCAACTCCAAGAATTCTCCAGCCAGCCTGCTGGGAATTTATTGCATTCTGGGGATTGAAGGCCAGGTCTCTGAACGTTGCCAAGATTGAGAAATATTGTCGTAGAGGCAGTAGTGGGCTGCTGCAGGTTCGGACTCGTTCTAGCGAACCGGTAGTTCCAGTGGTCAGTTGGCCCCGCCCACTCACCCACTCCTGCCCTATCCTGTCCTGTATTTCCTTCTTTGTGGCACAGCTGATTTCCATGCCTCCGCTGTTCTACTTACCTTAGAAGGCAAGCAGCTGAGCTTCAAATTGCTGTATTTTTAACGCTGTGCGCAAGTGTGTTAGGCAAGCGTGCACGTGAAACCCGTGGGTGCGTGCACGCAAAGCGCACACTCACAGAACCAGTTGTTAAACCGGTTGCAGCCCACCACTGTGTAGAGGGTCTGCTGCTCCATAGCACAGGATCTGTTTTGCTGTGCAGTAGATCCCTCAAAACTTGACTTCCTAGCTGAGCAAGAAAGATCAGATCACCAGCCGGGGCAACTTCCCTTTGCCAGCTTCCTTCCTCTTTGCTCAGAGTTGTGATCCACCCCCCCCAACCTCCCCCCCACCCCAATGGAGTTTGATTGCAAGCAATGAGACACGCATCACACACTTCCTTTGGGGCACTGGAGGTTGCCCAAGAGGACGGTACTGATAGGTGTTTGTGAAAAGTGCTGCCACAACAGTCCCAGGCTTGTGAGTGTGGTTGATCTTGGAGAAGGAAGTGGGCCGGCTACAGCCCGACAGCTGGGCACCAGGGTGAGCTCGGACCGGAAGCAAAAAGGAAGCCTGAGTGGGCCATGGTTTCCATTTGGTCTCCGAATGTGATTTGCACTTGTTTGTCCCCTAAGGGACTTTTAATATGATAGACAGAATGAGATTGCTGAGTCTAAGCCCTAAGATGTGCTTGAAATAAAGCCTCAGAGAAAAGGAGCCATTAATCCACTTAAAAAAATACTTGCCAATGTTTATAATCCTGATAAAAATAAGGGGGCCAAGAGGAGGGAGGAGCTGCTCCTTAAGGTAGAGGACAAAACCCTAGCAACTAACTTCTCTTCCCTCTGCCTAGAGCAGTCAGTACACAGGGAGTTTTTCCTTCAAGTGATGGGACCTTTCTCCTATGGGGGTGGGATTGTTGATCACCCCCAAGAGCCACTGCTCTGTTAGGGAGCGGGGAGTGCAAGGGGATCTTGTCTGGAGGCAGAAATCTTCTGTTTCAGCCTCTAAGATCCTTAACTGAAAAGGATCAGGAAGCAATTGATGAGAAATACTTTGGACTTTTAAAAACCTGGCAGACCAGGACCACATACCATGATCCTCAGCGAGAAGGGACGTTTCCTTTCCCTGGGCATGTTCGGGATGAAATTAGACAGTCATCTGTGGGGGTTGCTTTCATTGGGATTCTTGCATTGAACAAGGGGTCAGACTGGATGGCCTCAAATGGACCCATCCAGTTCTGGGATTCCACAAAGCTTCAATTGGCTGGATTGACTGGCTAGTGTGTCCTCAACCAATTTATGGCTTCGGAAACAGTTGGGACTATGGCAGGGCGTGTTCCTGGCCAGGTATATCAGTGTTCCCTGCCTTTGGGGTTTTGTGACAGCTGTAGTTCTATTTCAGCTTCTCCAGCGCCGAATACGTGTCTGTTTTGGAAAAAGTCTCTCCGATCGTCCAAGAGCACAAAGCCACGCTGGTCCCGGGGCAGCCTCAGCTGAACGTCTGTGACAAGGCAGTCATGGTAAGGCATCGAAACACAGATAAAAACTGACTTTCCATGGCTCCCATTGTGCAGCTGGCATCTCTCCTTTGATGCTGGTCAGCAAACCACCAGGCACCTGGGCTGGGTGAAGGTCTGGGGTGAGGTGGGGGCTGTGTTTCTCTTGAGTCACGGGCTCCCGAAGGCCAAAGCCCCTCTCTCCCACTGCCAGGCTCAGTGTCTTCCTTGCAACATTGGTGTGAAAGGAGGGCTGCCCTTTGTATGCCAACCACAGGGAAGATGCTGCTGGTCTGCTCCGGCCAGGTGGGCCCACGGAAAAGGCAGCCAAGTGTGTGTGTGTGGGGGGGGGAGAGAAAATGGAGGGCCATCCAGACAATCGCCTTGCATAGGGGTGGCCTTGGTCAGGTGGCATTTGGCCTCTCCTGTGGCGGAAGGAAGTGCTGCACTGGTCTCACCAGATGGAAACGTAAAAGGAGGCGTTGCAGTGTCTCTTGGCAGAAGTCACGTGCAGAGCAACCCCCACGCATTCCTTAAGCACACTGAACACCTGGGGTTTCCTCGTCAATAAGCTGAATCCAGAATGCAGCAGGTTCGAGCACTGGGTTTCCAGTGGAGGGTTTTCCAGCAGGAGGAAGCCCCCGTTGAAATAGCCCTACAGCCATCAGCTTGCCTGGAGCTACACTTGCTGCAGGCTGGACTTTGACTTCAGACCTCAAATGCAAATCCCCTGATGTAGGCCTCACCTGGACCGGCCTCACATCAGCCTTCTGCATGGCACCTGCAGCATCTCCCCTTTTCCCTCTTTGAAGCTCACCCTGTGAGAAAATGCGGCTATCAGTTGCAAAAGGTATCAGTCCTGTCGGTCTTATTTTTATTGGTTTTGCTTAGCATGAAATCCTAAGGAAGTTTTTGCAAGCTACAGCAATACCGTACATTTATGAGACAGAAAGAAACCTGGCCTTTGCAGCAGTTAAATCGGGGAATTCTCGTTGGAATGATGTCTTAATAAATAAACCACAATTCCCTGGGTTCACATTGGTCTAAGCCATAAGCCGTAGTTTACAAGCCACAATGGCTTGCTTTACATAACCTGAGTCAAAACCACACAAACCACAGGATGGTTTAGGACAAGAGGGAGACACCTTTTGCGGCACAGGAGGCTCCTCTGCGACCCTCTTAAGAGGCTGAGCTTAATGGGATGATAATGCCTTCTGCCCCACTGCTTCACTTCCTTCCCCTTAGCATTTCGGAAGTGGAAAGTGGGCTTTGAAAGCCCCATTAATTGTCCTTTAAGTTGCCCAGAGAGAGAGAGAGAGAGGGAGGGACGGGCTTCCCAGGGCCTCCTGCTTTTTTGGTTGGGCATCATTGCCCCCTGGTGTCAGCCGTGCAGAATTCAGGCAGGCAGCAGACACTCACCTCGGCTCCCAGCAAAAGCCATGAAAGGAAGGCCAGCAGGACGGAGTGGGCAGGATGACCCTTTAGCAACTGACTTGCCCAGGGACTGATTTGTCCCTGGGTGGGTGGGCTTCAGAAAGGGAAGGTTGGAGCTGTGGGGGGAGAAGGTACTGTGAACGCTGTGTAGCAGATGGAAGTGGGTGGGGCAGCCTTCACCAGCATGCAGAAAAGAGAGGAGGAAGATGGCACAGGTAGGCAGAGAAGTGGGGACATCCGCTGGGCTGACCAGCAGTCCGGGACTTGTTCGCATGAGATGGGGAGGGGAGTTGGCTCTGGGTGGAGGAGGCATCTTCGTCCAGATGAGTTTAAAGGGGAAGGGGCTGCTTCACAAAGGGTTTGGTTGAAGAAAGAGGAAGAAACAGGACTCAGAAGGAGCAAAGGACTTTGCTGGGATGGGTGTGCCACCCTTTCTCCTAGAGTCGGCAGCGGGCTTTGGCAAGACCTCCTCCTCCTCTTCCTCCTCCTGAGTGGCAGGAAGGACTTCCATGGTTTTTAGCCCTGGCGCATGGGAGACACAGCCCACCCCCATCACTCCTCCCTCTCCCGACCCTTCTCCTCCGTTCCTCCTAGGAAGCCTGAAGAGCTTTCCCTCCCCCCTGACATTGCTTCTCCTCTGCACAATTTGAGCCAATTCCAGTTGATTCCCCCCTTCAGTGTCGCTATGTAAATGCCTCCTAATCCATCAGTTGCCAGACTAATCCTTCAAACTGCTCATTAAAGCACAAATGTTCTTATCGGCCTCACCCCTGGCCTCCCGAGGCTGCCGTCTTCTCTGGGGCTCCTGGGAGAAGCTCCACAAACCTGTCTGTGCAAAACAATTGCGGAGTATCGGCCAAGGGCCTCGAGTGCTGTGCTGTACAGGTTACACAAAAAGGTGAATCTTCAAGCCAAAGAGGCCCCACCTAAGGAATAGCCATGTGCAAAAGACCTCAGCTACACAACAGAACACAGGGCATGGGATCATAGGGCTGGAAGGGACCTCAGAGGTCTTCTTGTCCAGTCCCCCGCTCAAGGTAGGAGATCGTAACCATCAAATGGCTGTCCGGACTATTTCGAAGTTTCAGAAGCTTAGCTGGGCTCCTTTCTGGGTTCATTGATATCCTGCTTCTCACTCAAGTTGTAGGGAGGGAGGCAGCCTTGGAGCTCTACCCTCTAGTTCGGCCTGTGCTGAATGGCTGTGGAATATCCGGCATGGCTGTTCTCATCCAGTGGGCTGATCCATCTGCCACAGCCAGCAGTGATGTTTGTAGCATTTCCCGTGCAAAAGCTGATGCACAGGAGCTGGGGGGAGTGGGGGGGGGCAAGGGCTCTTAAGATGGGGAAGGGGGCCCCTGCATCTGGGTGAAAGGAATAAGCCCCACACTGGTTTTGCAAGGGTTTCAGCTGCTCTACTTTCAACGGTGCCATTTTGAGGAAGCAGAGAAATCCAGGGCTGGCACAAGAGCCCTCGCTTTCTCAATAATGTGTGATGAAGGCTGACTCTCTCTCTCTCTCTCTTCCAGAACTGGGCTCCTCCAGGCTGTGAGAAGCTGGGGAAGTGTTTGAAAGCTCCCCCTCCTGACCCAAAGAAATGCTTTTGGCCTCACTGAGAGCCTGGCCTTGGCAATCCGCTGTCCAGCAACTGTCCCCCGTTCCTTCCAACCCCTGGCTGCCCTGGGGAAGGTGACTCCGGCTGCTGCTGCTGCTTGTTCAGAAGAAAGCATCCCAAGAATTGTTTCAAAAGGGTCACTTTGGGGCAGGGGTCTCCTGTCTTGAACTGGGGCAATTTTAATCTCTCTGAAGGGAGCCTCTCTGGAAATGAAGAAATGCTCGATACTCTTGCAAGCTGCAGGGTCTCCTTCTGGCTGCAGGGGAAGAAATGTACGCCCTCCTGGATCTGAGGGGCATCTCAGGGTCAGCCAGGTCAGCCTCTGTAGTTGGAACCACCTGCCTTTTGGGAAGTGCCAAATCCTTACATGAAGGAGCTTCTGCTACTGTGATTTTTTTAAAACAAATGAATTAGTTTTATATCTGTTGAGGCCAATTTTTAATACTGCTGGGCATTTGTAAGAAATGAAGGCTGGTTATATATTTGAGTGAGGTGGTTGTGTCTTTTTGGGGGGAGTTCTGTGCCCAAACCAAGCAATGGGTGGCCCTGCCTCTGAAAGGGGGGCTTTGGACGGTGTGCTTGCTTGAAGGCTCCCTCCGGGATGGGAGCAAAGGCAGAGGCGGCATCCATGGAGGGTCTCCATCCTCCAGGTCAGCCTTGTCCCAAAGGCCACGGGACTTTCTTGGGGTTTTTCCCTTTGGAAACGTTTCGCTTCTCATCCGAGAACTGGCTGAGTTGAAGGAGAAGCAAAACCTTTCCAAAGAAAACAAAAGCAAAAACCTTCGGGGCAGCGATTCCCGAAGGCCCCCTTGGCCAGCTGGGTCTGGGCCGCACCTGGGAGCGGAAAGGCGGCAGGGAGGACCGAGCGCGCACCTTGGCACGGGCGGGGGGGGGGGGGGGGGGGGGGGGGGGGGGGGGGGGGCGGCTTCCTGGAAGGGCCGATCCTGTCCCGCAAGGGGGGAGGCTGCACGGCCCGGGAGCCCCTCCCTCTCCCTTCCCTGCCCTTCCCCGCTCCAGCGCAGTGGTTCCTCCCCGCGCATGCCAGTTGCTCCTGCCCAGGAGGCAGCCGCCCTTTTCGCCATGAGCTCCGAGGACGAGCAGAAGCGGCGCTTGATCCGCGAACGGATTCGGGATTTCCCGGACTTTCCGTCGCCCGGGGTCCTTTTCCGGTAAGGGGCCGGGAGCTCCGCGGGGCGGGGGCGTCCCCAGCGCTGCTCTCCTGCGCGGCCTTTGGGCAGAGCCGCCGGAGCGCCAGAAATGCCCGTGGCCCGGCCCGGCTCAGCCGGAGGGGAAGCGGGCGAGCAGACGGCCCTGGGTGGGAGGCGCCCTTGGCGGGATCCGAAAGGGGGACTCCCCGGCCTCTGCCCCCGCTCTGCAGCTGCGGGCTCTGCCCTCTTCTTACCGGGCAGCCTCCCGGGCTCTTTCCCGCGCGCCAGCACGGCTTGAGCCGCCGCGGGAAGAAGGCGCTGCTTGGAGGGGATTCTGGGTCCCCCGATCCCAGCACCAGGGGCCCCTCCCAGAGCCTCGTGGCTTCCCAGTTTCGGGAAGTCAAACGGGGGTGAAAGGGGCTCCGAGCAGCTTCTCTCCCCCTCCAGGCAGGCTTGGAATCACCTGGGGAAGCCAAGCCGAATCAAGCCAGGCTCCGCTCCCCTCCCCTCGCCCCCCACTCCTTGAATTGTAGACCCGTGTGTGGCAGGGGCGTTTCCAGCCTTGTGGGGTCCTTCCCCATCCTCTCCTTCTCCCTCCCTCCCCCCAGGGACATCAGCCCCATGTTGAAGGACCCCGTGGCCTTCAAAGCGGCCATCGACCTCCTGGAATCCTATATCAAGGCCTCCCACAAGAACATTGACTACATCGCAGGTGAGCGACAGAAAGAGAGAGGTGGTAGATGGGACACAATAGCTAAAGCCGGAGGCCCCTTCTCCCCTCTGGAAAGAGCCCAGCCTCTGACCCTCTGCCTACCACGTGTTCCCCCGTCCTGCAATTTGGTGACAGCTAGTTCTCCAAAAGTCACCATAGCTTTTGTTGCTGGCAGAATGCTCTTCATTGCATTGTCCTGTTTCTGTCTTCCGTGGAGAAGCTCAGCAACCCCTAAACATCCTTGTCCACTCCAAAGGAAGCCTCAACTTTCGCTTTCTCCCAATTGTGCCAAGTTTTTTATGGAAAGATGGTGGTTTGCTTGACCACCTTCACTCAGGCCCAGGTGTGTTTCCTCACCTGCTGCTTGTAAAGACCCCGTCCTGATGGACTTGCCCTCTGGCGTGACCCCCCTTTGCTCTGTTCTGCCAGGCCTCGATTCCCGCGGCTTCCTCTTCGGGCCAGTTTTGGCCCAGAGGTTGGGGGTTGGATTCCTGCTCATCCGCAAGAAAGGGAAGCTCCCGGGAGCCACCGAATCCATCTCCTACGCGCTGGAATACGGCAAGGTGAGTTTGTGCAGCTCCGACAAAGTTGTGGGTGCTGCAATACTGGAGGATTTTAAGAAGAGATTGGACAACCATTTGTCTGAAATGGTCTAGGGCCGTGATGGCGAACCTATGGCACGCAGAGCCCTCTCTGTGGGCACACGCACCATTGCCAACTGCTCTTCTGGTTTCTGAAAAACGGCCTAAAAACAGCCAAAAAACAGGTATGCACATGCCGGACAGCTGGTCTTTGGGTTTCTGGCGCTCCAGCGTGCGCACATGCACACGTGTTCCGGTTTGGGCACTCGGTACCGAAAAGGTTCGCCATCACTGGTCTAGGGTCTCCTGCTTGTGAAGGGGGTTGGATTAGAAGGCTTTTGGCTGACCTGCCAAGGGCAACCTGTGGGATTGGGGTGAAAGGCCATTTGTTCTCCTCCTTCCTGCAGGCGGAACTGGAAGTCCAGAAGGACGCAGTGAAGCCAGGGCAGAAAGTCATCATAGTGGACGATCTGCTGGCCACGGGAGGTAAGCGATTGCTGGCTTCTTGCGACACCAGGACAACTCTTGCAACTTCTGAATTGTTTCAAGATGCTTCGCAACTTCTGCTGCTGTAGGACATGCTGTGTCCTGTGGTGGGGTGGGAGGGGGCCTCGGGCGAAATTCGGGGATTTCCCAGGAGTGCACATGGGGACTCAATTGTAAAGGAAGAAGAGGTGGGGGTTGTGAATTCAGGCTGTGGTTTTGCATGGCAATTACAATCTCCTTTTTAAAAGTTCATTTTTATAGCAAAAACTAAGAGGCTGGTCTTAGCCAAGTGTGTTCAGTCACAATATTGTCTCTAGTGCTTAAGGAACTCTGAAGGATCAAATGGGAGGTTAACACTTCCAGCCTTCTGTCCCCAAATGGCCACCATCTCTGCCTGTTGCAAATCCACAAGTGGAGCAGGATCTACTCCTTCGAGTCCCACCTCCACAACTGGTAGGGAGAGAAGGATGGCACATGGCCATCGTAATTGGCATCCAGGGTGGTAGTGTGGCAAAGGTGCTGAACTAGGAGCGGAGAGACCTCATGCTCTTGAAGGAAAGGCAGGATCTACATTTATCATAACATTTTTCCATCATCCTCTTGGCCCCCCTAACAGCTCCTCTCCCTCCTTCCCTCCCAGGTACCATGCGAGCCGCCTGCGAGTTGATGACAAAGCTGCAGGCCGACATCTTGGACTGCCTGGTGCTCATTGAGCTATCCTTCCTCAAAGGCGTAGAGGCCCTGAAGCCCTTTCCCCTCTACTCACTCTTGCAATACCACTGATGCCTTGGGTTAGTCCTCCCCGCCATCCCGTAGGCTCCACTGTCCAATTTCCCAGTCCTGACTTCCCGAGGGAGGGGGGGAGCTGCCACTTCTCTGCATGCTGGCCAAACCTTAAGCAATCCGGAAAGTGCTGGGTGCAGTTCCTTACGTGGTTAAGCAGCACACAGAGTACCTTAAATACGATTTGAAACCTGAACCAAGGGCAGCCAAAGCTGTTTGGCAATAGAGCCCCACTAACCACACGTGCTGGGGCACATGTGGATCTGTCCCCAGGAAGGATGATGGGGACTCTGATGTTCATCTCAAACGCATCAATGTTCCCTTCCAGAAGCTAGAGGGAAGTAAGAGGGGCCCATGGCCTCCAGAAGGCCAGATTGCTGGGCGAGTCTTAAGCAACCCATTTCACTTCACTCTTAATCCCACTCACTGAGTCCAGTCCTGCAAATGTTCCTGGCAATCCCACTTCGATAAGGCCAGCTGGAGTAGAGGCTAAACGTGTCCGCCTGCATAGTTTGGATCACTTATTAGGCGAGGATGTGCTTTGTTCCTAGCTGCCCTGCAAGGGGAGAGCTCAGTGTTGTGACTAGAGGGCTCCTTATCTTATGCTACCCTAGAAATGGCTGGAAGGAAGAAACCCGTCTGTAAAACTATTTGCTATTAAAGACACGCTGCTCTTGTACCTGGCCCTGATGGGGCTTCTTGAGGTGCTGTGACTCATTGGTCTGCTCTTAGGGGTCAGGCATGGCAAGGGGGCCGAAAGCCTCACTGGAAGTGCTGAAGGGGTGTCTGCTCTGGACCCAGCCTTGGGCTCCTCTTTGCACTTGGGAAGGGGAGGGGGGAAGGGGGAGAGATGTGCTTGTCCAGCTTCAAGTAAGTGGAGTTTAATGCCAAGTTTCGTATGCAAATCACATTTCAGGATAGAACAAGCCTTTCTTTAGAAGAAAAAAAAAAAACCCATTCCTCCTTGCTCTCGACTCATGGACAGGATGTGGGATTCCATCCTCCCCCCTCCCTTCCTGGAAAAGCAGCCACACCTTTTCCAAACTGCCCAAGAGACAAAAATGTTTTGTGCCTTTAAAAAAGTGGTTGTAATAATGCCCACCCTGTCATGGCTTTGCCAAAAAGCTTGTGAGTTTTCCATTGGAGAGAAAATCCTCCCTCCTATTTCTATCCAGAACAAAGACAAGAAAGGTGTATGCTTCCCCCAGGAAGTCCATTCTCTGGGCATTCCCCCCCCCCCCCAAAAATCAGAGTTTCTCCTCTTCCCGCTTTCTCGCAGTTAGCCTCTCTGTTACGATATTGAGATCCATGGCTTTGTCCAGCTTCAGGTAATCCTCCTGGCGAATGGCAAGGATGCGCACCCAATCCGGCAGGAGCTCTGCGAAGAGGTGGAGGTGTTTTTCCATCTCTCCTGCAGGGGACGAAGGGGGACTCGGGTCACATAAGAAGCCTGCCACACTTGAGCGCCATCAACTGTGAAGAGGGTCCTCGATGGGCAGGGATCTTCCCAAACACCAGGGAAGCCATTGCTGGAGGGTGAGGGGGTCTAGGCCCCCTTCCCAGGGGAAGCACCAAAATCTCAGTTCAGCAGGACAGCCATTCTTCTGCAGATCAAATCTCCGGCCTGTGTTTCCAGCTGAATCTTTGGAAACCGACTGAAAACCATGTGGCGCTAAATCTAATGCAATGCTAATTTAGATAGACCAATCAGGCAAACATTAAATGGTTTAGAACAGGGATGTCAAACGCTGGCAAATTCTACGACTGGTGAATGGCATGGCTGGCAGGCTGGGAAAACCTGTGGATTTGTGGACTTAAAAGAGGGGGCTGGCTCACTGGGGAATTCTGGGAGCTGAAATCCGCAACTCTTTAAGACCCTGGAGAGGACTTGTTGCTCAGCAGGAGAACTCTCAGTCCAGGCTCTCCTGAAGTGGTGTTCCTGTTGGGGTTGCCGAGTCATCTGGGGCCGCCAAAGGCGGTTGGGCTTTGTGGTTACTGAGTAACTAGGCCTAGTTGCCAAAGGGCAGAGGGCAGCCTCCTCCCTCCCCTCCCCTGAGCCACCCACCCGCCTGCCTTACCCATGGGCAGGAGCGCCTGGTAGCTGTCTATCATCCGCTGGCAGGCCACCTCCATGGAGAGGGCCTGCTTCTTTTCTGCCACGAAGACGTTGCGCAGGACACGGGCCATCTCCGGCAGGCGGCCCAGCATTGCCAGGCGCTGCTCCTGCTGAGGGTTCCGTGTCATCAGCGCCTGCAGCTTCTGAGCCTCCTTGGCCCTGACCTGGGGAGAGAGGAGGCAGGTAAGGGGGCCGTCTTTGGCACCACTGCTGTAATTCCAGCTGTGGGCATCTGGCACCAGGCAAGCCTGCTGGAGGGTGCCCAGCTTTGACTTTTTCCTACATCAGGGTGCCCCAACTTTGGCAAGAAGTCCCCTGTGGACTTCGACTCCCAGAATTCCCCAGCTAGCTGTGGTCCTGAAAGTCACCACGGTTGATGGAAAACCTGCCCTATAGAGTAGGGGTGGCCATGGCCAACAGCTTCTACTGGTGCCCTTGGGAGGGTGGGGGGAGGCTGAGAAAGGGCCCATCCTCCCACCCCAAGAGGAGGAGCAAGAGATACAGGCTTAGTTGAAGGTATTGAAGGCTGGACCTCAGGCAGGTCAAGATGCACTCAGGGAAACTGGCAGTGCCCTGCATTGGCAGCAGCCACAGCTCGTGGGGTGGGTAAACTCACCCTTTCTACTAAGGACTCCGAGACACCTTTCAGGCTGTTGGGGGTTCCGGGCAAAGCTGGGCGAGGAGGCTGTGGGGAGGAGGGGCTGCTGTCTGCCGTCCTTAGGACCAGGTTGGTTAACGCCTTTTCCATCTGTTTGGGGAGGCGAAAATGCAGGTGCTCTCTTTAAAAACCATTTGCAAAGGCTTGTGGTATGTAGAACAACCTGGGGCAAAATTGCCCCCCCTCCCAGGCTGTACCTTGGGTGTCAGCATGCCTTGTGCCTTGGCCAGCACCTCCTGCGCAGTGGTGACCCTGTCCACGTGGGGTGGCTGGGGCAGCTCAGCGGGCACGACATCGGGCACTTCGTCTACCCGGAAGCGAGGGTGCCAGCGGGTCAGCTCATCCTCCTCTATCGCCATCGGAGGGTCCAGAGAAGCCAGGAACGCCTAGGGGGAGGCCAAGCACAAGTCTCAAGACATGGGAAATGCCACCTTCCTGCCCTGCCAGCAAGGGAGGAAGTGGTGCCAGGCTGCCCCCCCAGAAGCGCTTGCCTTGTGGTGCTCCTTGACCCTGGCTGTCAAGTTCTTGCAGAAGATGCTCCGGCGTTCCATCAGCCGGGATGCGGTCAGCTTCTCCCCTGGGAGTAAGAAGAGGAATCAGCACGCAAGAGATGTTCAGCATCCCATCTTCGCCCCCAACCCAACCCCACACGCTTTAGGGAAGTGAGGAAGGTGGTGGCATCCAGACGGATATTAGCAGGTCCTCGTTTCCTGACAAGAGCTGGGCAGAAAAAGCTTTCTTACTGGAGGAAAAAGCCGCCTGCAGACAAACACCAAGGCTGAGCTCACACAATGCGCGTGGGCTAGTAAAGCATGGCCCCTTTCCTTGGTTCTCGGAGGCTGCTCTACGATGCAGGTAGCCTCCCGCCCAAACCCACCTGTTCCCAGCTCTGGTTCGATGGTCAGCTGGTAGCTGCCTCGCTTGCCCGGTCCACCAAAGGTAGGGATGTTTCTCTCTTGGCGCAGAACGTAAGAACCTGGGTACACCGTTTTTATCTGTCCCAAGTGCCGTTCTTCGAAGCGCCTACAGGACAGGAAGCAGATGAGTGGGCAGCATTAGCTTTCCGGAAGACCAGAACCAAGCCTGGAGCGAGCCCTGCGTGGATGGGAAGCGGTATCTTTGCCTAAGACCCACAGAAAGCTCCAGTCTTGCGTCTAAACTGGGGTCCAACCATCACCCGTTGGCTAGGGAACTCTGGGAGTTGAAGTCCAATAGTCTTAAAATGGCCGAGGTTGGACACTCCTGGTCTAAATCCATGCTTGCATGGGGGGGCCAGAAGTCTCCGATCCAGCACCTGAAAAAAGAACTCACTTGCGCGTCATCTCCTGCACGCCTTGCTTGACCTTGGCAAAGGTGACCGCTTCCAAGCGGTTGAACATCATCGCCACGATGGTGTCCGTGCTGCGGAACATCTCAGCCAGCACCTTGTATTTATACGGCAGCAACAGACCAGGGGGCACATCTTCCGCAAGGCTGTGGAAGCGCTGGTAGGCCGGCACCTTCTCACTAGCCAGGAGGGGAACAAGGCTTCAAATGGCGGCCTTCTCAATCCGACCAACCTGCTCTCAGGTGAGCCAGTCGTGTCAGTGACCCAGCCCCCCCCCCCCAACTCCGCTTCAGGACGGGCAGAAGCTGTTCTCACACCTGGTCTCTGCAGGGGATTCCAGATCCTTCCTTTCCTCTTTTGGGGAGAGTTTCCTCTGGCGGATCTGGGATTCCAGCAACCGGGCCCGTTTCAATCGGTTCTTTAGGTCACCGCCAGATTCCAGGTTGGCAGCTCCGCCCTTGATCTTCTGCACCAGGCTCTGGATCTTGCCCAGGCGGCCCTTCAGCTCCAGGAGCTGCTTTTGGGGTGCATCCTGCATAGAAGGTAGAGATCTCAGCAAGGCGGCTGCCCCCTCCTCCCTATTTGCTGGGCTGGGATTGAGCAATGAAGCAGTGCCCCCTTTGCAAAACCCCCGCCCCAGGGAAAAAGCAAGGTTGGAAGCTGCATTAGAGGTAAGGGGAAGAGCAAGGAAGGCTGGCCAGGACACGAAGATAGGGAGAGGCAGGGTGAGCAGGATTGGCACTGATATCTTAGGTCAGCTCAAGTCTGCAATGCAGGGGTGTCCAGTTTTGGCAACTTTTAAGCCCTGTGGACTTCAACTCCCAGAATTCCCCATCCAGCCCTGCCCTCACCTTCTCCTCGGGACTGGCCAGGGCCACTGAGGTTCCCCCCAACTTCAGGCCAGGCGAGAGAATCTCGTTCACCAGCTCCTTTGCCTCCTTGTCCAGGGAGGAGGGGCTGGGAGGCCCCAGAGCCGCAGTGGACGTGGGGCAAGCAGAGACCTGAAACAGAAGCAGAGCCGCAGTCAACCCTCGGGGTTCACCCCCCCCCCCACATGCCAGAGCCTCCTGGCGCGCAAGACAACCTGGCTGAGATGGGGCGAGAGAGCGAAGGGGCGGCAGATGCCCAGAAGCCGCTTTGTAGGGGAGACAGGCGGCAGAGAGATTTAATAACTAAATACAGATCACGCCAGTCTCGCAGAGGAGGCAGCCTGGGAACGTTGGGCACATCGACAGGGTTCGCGGGGGGGGAGGGGGGGGTCGGTTGGTACAACCGAGCATCAGCCCGGGTTCGCGGCCTTCCTTTCAAACAACTCCGGAGCAGCGGCAGAGCAACACGTGGAGGAGACCAAGCAGGCCCCCCAGCCCGGCCGGAGCGGGTCGCGGGTTTCATCCGAGCGGGCTCAACCGGGCTGCGTCCAAGGCGCTCCTCCGGGGAGGAGTCCGGCTCAAGGGAGCCTGCAAGAGGAGCCCCGGGGGGGGCACTCACCGCCCTCTCCTCCTCCTCCTCCTCCTCGGCCATCAGCAGCCTCTTCCTGGCGGCCCCCTTGGGCGGGCGGCGGTGCTGAGCGACGGGGCTTCGCTCCGCTTCCAGTTCGGACTCCGAGCGGCGCCTCTTCCGGCTGCGCGGCGCGACCGGCGGGGGTCCGGAGCCGAGCGGGGTCCCGGGCGGAACCAGCTGCGGCTTGTGCTCGGGGCCGGCCCGGTCGCCGCCCGGCTCCCCCGCCGCCGCCGCTTTCCGCCGCTGGGCGCCCCGCGGCTGCCCCGGGCCGGCCTTGCTCTGCGCGAAGAAGCGGGTCAGGCGGAGCTGCGCCATCTCGGCCGCCGCCGCCGCTGCTACAATGTGGCCACTTTCGCGGGCCGCCTGAGCCCCGCCCCCTCTTTTCCCGCGCTGCGCTCTTAAAGGCGCCGCGTCGCCGCCCCGCCCCCCCCGCCAGAGGGACCCGCCAGATGCGGCCGCGGGGGGGCAGCCACGATCCCCCGCCGGCCTCAGGCCGCAGCCCCCGAGGAGGGCAGGTTCAGGCGGCGGTCGCAGCCCCCCCCATTCGGGCTCGGGGCCGCTTCAGGCGGTCCTCAGCTCTGGAGCCCTCGGCCGCTTTCCTGCCCGTCCCGTCCAGAAGCGCCCCTGCCAAGCAGCTGCCGCTTCCCACAAGGGCCCCAATGCCGGCCTCGGACTTCGGGGCTCAGTTGGGAATGGGAGCCCGGGTCTCACCGGGAGGCCCTCCGAAAGCCTCTCAATGCGCGTCAGGGCTGGCCGCCTCGGCGCCCCTCGCTAGTTTGAACCGGGGCTGGCGGGGGTTTCCGCTGCGCTGCCCGAAGCAACCCGGCAGGCTCCCGGCTGAGGCGGGGCGGCGCTTTGGGGCCTCCGGGGCGTCTGCGGCTGGGAGCGAGAAGGCCCGCCTGGATTCCAGGTAAGGCCACCAGAGGGATCCCGGGGGGCGGGGGGGGGGCGGGGGCGGGAGCCGGGGGGGGCCGGGGGGGGGGGGGGGGGGGCGGCCGTCGGCGGAGGAGCCTCGGGGGCAACGTCGGGTGGGGGAGGGAAGCGGCGCCTGATCTCCGCTGATTCCAGGCTAAGCAGCCGCCGGAAGGCGAGGGGGGGCTCTGGAGGGTCCCCCCGTCTGGATCCGACGTGTCGGGCCGGAGAGGGCGTCGCAGCGGGCGCTAGGTGGTGCTGCCGCCCGGGGAATCGCGCCGAGGGAGGGGAGGGGAGGGGGCGGCGGCGGCGGCGGCGGCGGGCGGGCCTGAAGTGGCACGTGCGCGGCCAGAGAGAGCCGGGACATCGGCGGCCGAGCGAGGCTGCGCTGCGCGGAAAGCAGGCAGAGGCTCGGTCCGGCTGTGCTGGCTGCGGGGCAGAGCCGAGACCGCCCCCCGCTCCTCCCCCGGGGACGGGCTGAGCACCCGCGGGCCGAGGGCGAGAGAAGGCGGCTGGGCTCGGGTGGGGCGCGAAGCCGACGGAGCCGCCGCCGCCGCCGCACTGCGCCCAGCCAGGCGCCTCTTCGGGACTCGGAGCCCCGAGCCGGGACGATGCCGACGGCCGCCCGCCGACCCTGCGACTGAAGCCGCGCCGCGATGGAGCTGCGGGTCCTGTGCGGCGTCCTCTACTGGCTGCTGCTGCCGCTCTCGCTGCTGGCCGGTAAGCGGGGCCGGGCCGGGCGGGGGGCATCGCCCGCCTCTTTCGCCGCTTTGGCAGCCGGTCCCGGGCGCGCCCCGTGGCACTCCGGCCGCGGGGCTGCTTCCTGCCTGAAGGAGCCGGAGGGGTGGAAGGCTGCTGCGGACGGTCTGGGTCGGGGAGGGCTGGACTAAGTGACCTTTAAGGCCCCTCCCGAGCCCGCAGAAGCCCATTAGCTGTCATGTAAGCGTTCGAGGCTGGCTGGTGGGCCGTGAACCCCGCACCACCCACCGGAGAGAAAGGGCTGCGAACTTCCGGCGACCCGAGGGGAGATGTGGCCGTGGCAGCGGCTGCCCGCAAATTCTCCTTGGCCCTCCTCGCGGGGGGGGGGGCAGCTGCGCTTCTCCTGGGGAGGATTTGTGTGGCACGCAGGCCCCGTGCCCTGGCTGTGCCCGCAGAGGCGGCTGCGGAGGAGGAGGAAAGTTGTCATGCTGAGGCGCTTCCAGCTTCGGCTGCTGGAGCCCTTCCAACCTGTTAAACAACCCCCCGAGGAATGTTGCAGGCGCCCAGGTCGGAATCACCTGGTGTGAAGGGCTCAGTGATTAAGACCAGTCTGGCTCCTGGTTGCTGTGGTTGTACTGAAGCCTCAGCCAGCCAGCCAGTCTGCTGGAAGTGCCCAAAAAAAGTCAGAACAAAGGTTTTGGCCGGGCAGCCCAGCAGCTCCCTGGGTGAAAGTAATTGGCTGGGTCGGTAGGTGTGTTGTGTGAAGGTAGCAATTACATGTGCTCACGTAGTGGTGACACATCTTGGAAGCTGTACTAGAGTGACTTTCTTACTGAAGGAACGGAATTAGTGGGGACTCATGGAAAATGGATTTTGCAGGTCACTACCAACGTAGGGCCCCGCAATTTAGGGATGCAGAGTCCAAAAGGCAAAGTCCCATTCTGGGGACTCTCAAGAATGAAACAGAATTGCTGGAATCACAAACCTCCCTTCAAATGCCTGCTGCGTTATGTGAAAGGTGAAGGGTCAGCACACAGATGATCAGTTCTGGTGACCAGAGGCTGGATGGAGGGAAATGTGTGAACAGTGACTCTTGTCACTGACAGGGAAGAGAAGGGCCGGCAGAGGGAGGGGTGATAGAAATGTGTGAGATTTTGCAGGGAGCAAGAGGTCTCCCCTCAAAGTCCAGTGGAAGAAGAAGGGGAAATTCCTGGGAGTTCAGGTGCCCCAAAATGCAGCCTCATCCTCTGGGCTTGAAGGAAACAGGCAGGGGGTCCTCCCAGCATCCAGCTTTGGCTCCTCACCATAGAGACGAGATGCGGGAAAGACCTGAATGAGGCTGTATCAAAAGATGCTACCCTCTCCAGGTTTGGGAAGCAAAGACCGGCAGACATCAAAGTGTGAGGTAGCCTTGCCTTCCCAGAGCCGAAGGGGAAGAAGCCCAAAATCTGCAGAGAAGCAGAGGTAGGTCATCAGCCAAGAAGCTGGTGGCCCCTGTACTTAATGCTCAGAATTGGCTTTCTTTCTCTCTGGTGCTCTCAGCAATTCCAGGGAATTTCTAGAAGCCTGAACGATTATTGTTCTAGACTCTCCTTTCAGCCAGAAGCCAATTCCCCAGGGATGCGGAGGCCTTCTTCAGCGGCCCTGAATGCTTTCCTGTTGAGTTATAACCAGGGCAGCCTGTGCAACCAGTTTTTCATAGGCACTTCTGGTCTTCCTCACCGTGGCTGCACTGGACTTAGTGGGGCGAAACGGCCCTGGGGAGACGGGGCCCCGGCTTGCATCATGGAGTTGGCTGATGAGTTTATGTTGTTTGTGTGATGATCCCTTTTCCTTACGTCTGTCTTAAAACAGGCATATACAGGTACACCTACTCAGGAATGTGAACTTGAGTATCCCAAAAGCTTCTTTTGTTGAAATCTGTTGTGAAACAAGGTGAAGCAAGTTTCTTAATCTGCTTCTTACCTCATTTGAGGATTATTCTGATTGAGAAAAAATCTGTCCCATTAGAAGGCTTTATTACAGGCCTCTCCTCCCCACCCCCCTTGTGTCTGCCTTAATGTTCCTGGCTTCTCCTCCCAGGTGGAAGGGCAATAAAGGTGTCCATCCAAAGAGATTCAGCCTTTTCTCTCTCTTTTCTCCCCGTTCCCAACACACACCCACACCCACACACACCAGTGTTTGAAAATCCCTGTGTAGCCAATCTGTTTTACACAAATATTTACCCAACACATACATCCCTGCCCATCCTTGGACTGTTGTGAAGGCGCAGTAGCCAGTTTATACAGCAGCAGGAAAAAAGGGGGGGCTGCGTCCATCCAGGTTGTTCAAGGGAGAGAAGCAGGAACATCTTTGAGGTTCTCCGATGGTGAACGGCTTCAGCGTGCGCTACTGATTTTCCTCAGACCTGGTGGCCATTCCGTTTACTCTGGCTGGCCAAGGCGTTTTTTTTTAATCCTGCCTGTTGGAAAATGGTTGCAAGCTTACACACTGGAAAAAGGAGGAGGCTGGCCAACACTTCCTTCTCCTCCCCCACCCTCAACCCCAAGTTCTTTGCAAATTGTGGTGCTTTGCTTCTCACCCAGAAACCCTTTTTCCGCAATAAGCACTTTTTAAAGTGCTCTTCAACCTGAAACCTGCTTGGCTTCCGTGAATTGTGTCCTTTGCAGAGATTTTGGAAGAGAAGGTTATCTTGCACTTGACCCAAGAAAATAATGGTTTGCACACATGAATTTTATATCTGTGTTTTTGCAAGTGTGCAACTGTGCCCTTAAGGCAGGAATGATAACTTTTGAGCAAAATGACTCCCCAGTGAAACCAGATACTACCATACCAGAGGTTCAAATAGCCCGGGTTTGGCTGCTCAGAGTGGGAACGATGGACTCTGTAGTAGAAGCTTGTAAAAAAAGCTACCAGAAAGGGCTCCCGTTTAGAGAGGCCTTGTGGTGACAGATGGTATTGCATGCAAGCAGAGCAGTCTATATTCAAAATCCACTCCTTTTCTTACAGCCGGATGAGATGAAAGCATATTCTGCGGGTAATTAAAGGCTAGACTCATAACAAGGCTCATCCTTCTAAACCCCCTTTTGGGGGAAGCCCCCTTGGCAGCAGCCTTTGCATTCCAGAAAGATCAAGTCAACAAAGCAGCAGCTGTTTCAAGGAGGGACATAGCTGGCTGGGGGATTCTGGGAATTGAAGTCCACACACCTTCAAGTTACGAGGTTGAGGAATACCGTGGCAGAGAAAAGGGGCAGTTCTTTTGTGCCTTGTCAGTCTTTGTGTGTGTGTGTGTGTCGGGGATAGGAAGTCAGTGGTTAAGAGTGGCTTCTTTTTTGAGTTCATAGAAGTGGAGAGAAGGTCAAGCTGCCAAGACAGATTGAGTAGTGAATGCATGTGTGTGTCTGTGGGGGGGATGATGCAGAGGCATGTCAGCAGGCACCCAACCAGCACATGGATGCCCTCAGTGCCAGTCTGATGGACCAGATTCTTCCCCTTAGCTTGCCCACCACTTGTGTTTGGAGTTTAGAAAAAGTGCTGTTGAAGTTTCATTTGTGGTCGGAGCTGCGTGGCCTGGTGGAGAAACGAAACTTGTAGTATTTTAGGAGCCTCAGGCCAGCAGGGAGCCTTTCCTTGCAGCTTGCCTTGGCAATCCAAGGCTAATTCCTTGACTGGCAAAATAAAGTTTCTGTGAGTCTCTCTCTCTCGCTGCCTGCCCCACTGGTGACTCCCCGAGCCTGCAGGATGTGAAAA